GTTGTTTGTTCTCACTTTCAGGATTTTTTTTTTTTTTTAGTTCTAGGTTGAATCTCGATTAGTTTCCATCCATTGTTTCTTGTCTTGCCTTCAGGTGATTTGGAAAATAGGTTATTCTCTTTTCTTTCTTCAGAAAACATTATTTGGCCATTGTTGGTGAATTGGCCTAAATCAGATTTTTCCAAGGAGAGATTTTGGACTACAGTGCTCAGTATCTCCAAATATTGACAAGGTTCTTCCCAAAGCCCTTTTTGGTGGGAGGAGGGGTGGTTTGCTAAAATGCTGCCCTTTTGAGGATAGCATCGCGGTTGGCTGTACAAAAAATCCAGCCTTGCCACACCCACAAGCAGTGTGAGAGAAGCAAAGTAATTGCTTTCAGCAGGCAACTTTCCTGAGTAGTTTTTTGCACCTCGGAAATACTTTTTGTGAAGCACTTTGGGCCTTCTTGTGGGAGGTAATCTTCTAATGCTTGAGCCCATAGTAATGTCGTACAAGTCTGCCACATGCAGTTTTCCTCCGAGTTCCTGCCCACACACCAGCTCTCTTGGTGTGATGTCCTCTGTGTATGTTTGCATGTACGTGGGTATAATTAGCTGTCGGTTAGAAAGGGTGCCGCAGGAATCAGTTGGAAAACAACACATTGCTACAAATGTATAATGAAGTTCAATTAGCACAAATGGTTATAACAGAGGCAGTTTATGGACTACTAGTTGGAAGGTGGCAGAATTATAATTGGAAAAGTACCAGTGACTTTTTCTTTATAATTTTCTGCCCCGCCTCCCACCCAAATGTCAGGAAGAAATTAGAGTTAAAGCAATCGCTGAGAACAGTGCTGTCTCTGACAAGTAGCAGTTTAAGAGGCCACCTTGCAATGAATCCTCTCCTCTAGTTTGGTGATGCTAAGAAACTGCTCTGTTTAGAAAGCAAATGCTGGGGAATATGCAATGTCTGGGATTATGTGACTGATGCGTTTAACTTGCATGCTTTAGATAACATACCTTGTGGCCCCTTTACTGCTAACACTTGTGGACATGACTACTTGCTAATTGCTGTAGTGTAGTCAATGCAAGGCATGCAAATTAAGATGATTCCACTTTGCATATACTATTCTATAGTCTTATTTTATACCAGTCTGAGATTGAATTGCAAAGCCATCTAATGAATCTTGTTGATAGCTTTAAGAGAGGATTTTAAATCTGATGAAATGTAAGCTTACCTCTTACTGTTAAAGTTCTTGTTTTTCTCACCTTCTCCAACTCAGTTGATACCGTTTCTCAAATTTTCGGTACTGTATATTATAGTAGGCAAGAATTCACTAGCTGCAGTTTTCCCTGCATTGTATGCACACATGACCAGTATTTAAGTATGTATGAGATTATTAAAGGAACAGAAAATGGGTAGATGGACATTAAGATGTGACAATCAGATTTCTATCTTTATTAATCAGTAAATCTGTCTATGGGGATTTTCAGTCATCCAGGTCATGGTTGTTCTAGAGGTGCTTTTACAAGAGGCAACTGGATTTTCTTGTTTCTCTTTGAAGAAGTTTCGCTTCTCATCCAAGAAGTTTCTTCAGCTCTGACTGGATGGTGGGAAATAGAAGAATTTATATTCTTTGCAGACAGTTGGTCATTTGCATTCTTTCAGAGAGTTGTTGGGGCCACTTGGAGGTTTACTTTGAGGACATAGACAAACCTCCAAATCACCTCAATGACTCACTAAAGAGTACAAATGACCAACTGTCTGCAAGGACTATAAATACCTCCATTCCCCATCATCCAGTTAGAGCTGAAGAAGCTTCTTGGATGAGAAGCAAAACTTAAAAAAAAAATCCAAGAAACTCCAGTTGCCTCTTGAAAAGCACCTTTGGGATAATCAAAAAAGCCCCTTTTCCTCTAAGAAACCAACACTGGTGTAATTAAAAACATATACTTTCAATTGATATATCACTTCATCTTGAAGTGGTTAATATAATAAGAAAACTCAAACACTGTCCTGCTGGGTCATGCCCCTGGCCATCTAGCCCAACAGTCTGTTCTCATACTGGCCCACCAACTGCACAAGGAAGCTTTCTAATCTCCCAGCAGAATGTAAATAATTATTTATGCTATTTAAAGTTTACATCCTTTTCCCTGTACAAAATGTATAGATAATACTGGGTTGCCTTGCCAAGCTGTATTCAGGGATTACGGACAGAACCGAGCATGCATTATGGTCTAGTACAGTATAATGTGTGAGTCAGTAATATTTTTATTTCATTATTGATGTTGCTGATATCGTTTAACAATTGGGAGTGAGAAATGCTTTCTCTTGCACTGCACGTTTTCTGGAGATCTACTAAGTACAGGTAGTCCTTGACTTACAACAGTTCATTTAGTGACCGTTAAAAGTTACAATGGCACTAAAAAAAATGACATGACATTTTTAAACAGATATGACTGTTGCAGCATCCCTATGGTCACATGACTTACATTCGGAGGCTTGACAACTGGTTCACATTTATGACGGATGCAGTGTCCTGGGGTCATGTGATCATCTTTTGCAACCTTCTGACGAGCAAAGTCAATGGAGAAGCCAGATTCACTTAACAACCTTGTTACTAATTTAGCAATTCCAGTGATTCACTTAACAAATGTGACAAGAAAAGTCATAAAATGGGGCTAAACTCACTTAACAAATTTCTCACTTAGCAACTTAAATTCTGGGCTCTATTGTGGTTGTAAGTTAAGAACTACCTGTATGTTCGTGTATCTTCTGCTGGTCTTCAATGTGGAAGGCAGGAGCTATATAACTGTCAGTAACTAGCTACTTCTAATGAAGTTTCTTTTGAGTGGAAGCCATGGTGGGTTTGCTCCCCAAATCAGTTGCTATTTTTGTAGCAACATTATCAGTAGCCACTGATTACTTTGTCCTTGACAGATTCCACGTGAAAGTCCATGTGCAGTAATATTACTTCATTGACAGTCTTAGCAAAAGTGTCTCCATTTGCACACATATATGTGTACAGGTGGTTGAAGACATGTTCCTTGTGAAAGACCCATCAGCTTTATGTAGCTGAAGTGAGATGCTCTGTTTGCATTAATGTATATTGTAAAATGTTTCTTTCAGAAGCTTGCCTGTTATGAAAATAGAGTGAGGGTTCTTGGTCATTAGTCAAAGCTGTAACTTAAGTTTGCTATGGAAACAGTGCACTGAACAGAAAAATAAAGCTAACTTGTACACTTGTCTGTTCCGTTATTGTTCAGTTTCAACTTTCAGAAGCCCAGATAATCAATACCAGTGTTAAAACATTTGGAGAGCCACATTTGTCATCCCTAGATTTAAAGCAAGATAATGCAGTTGAATGGAGATTTAAACCTGGTTTAGTTTAACATGGCTAAACCAATCGCATAGTTCAGTGATGGCGAACCTTTTAGAAACTGAGTGCTCCAACTGCAACCCCAAACCCACTTATTTATCACAAAGTGCCAACAGGGCAATTTAATCTGAATACCGAGGTTTTAGTTTAGAAAAAACAACTCATATATTAACATCTTTTCTCTTAAAAGAAAAACACAATGACAAAGCTTTCAATGATACAAACAACTTTTTACTAAAAGGTAAAAGTTTGCATTTGGCATGCTTTTGAACAATGAATGTGATTTTTGCTGTTGTATGCATGCTGATAATTTGTCTAACCTTGGCTCATACTTTGTAAGTTTGAGAGGAACACATGCAGCACTCAGGTCATCTGTTAGTCTGTTTCTGGGGTCAGATTTGATATAATTCAAAGCTGAAAACAGCTCGCTCGCTCCGGAGGCTTGTTTGGCTAGGAAGGGGCTTGAGAAATGGCTTTTTCCTGCGAAAACATAGCCAAAGAGCGAGGTGCGCATGCCCACAGAGAGGGCTCCGAGTGTCCCCTCTGGCATGCGTGCCATAGGTTCGGTACCACTGGCATAGCTGAACAGATTTAATGCAAACTAAAAATAAGATGGGAAATTTAAAAAAAAAATCCCAGAAGAAGGCAATGGCAAACAATTTTTTGTACTGCTACCCATGAAAAGAACATGGCCCAGACATAAGCTCTGCTTGACATTGCCTTTTTAATGGGATTAGTCTAATCATTTTAACATGCCCCTGCCTGAAGTTCAACTAATTCCCCAGCTACTATAGGTAGTCCTCAATTTACAACCACAATTGAGCCCCAAATTTCTGTTCTTAAGTGAGACATTTGTTAAGTGAATTTTGCCCTATTTTACAACTTTTCTTGCCACAGTTGTTAAGTAAATCACTGCAGTTGATAAGTTACTAACTTGGTTATTAAATGAATCTGTCTTCCCCATTGACTTTGCTTCTCAGAAGGCCACAAAAGGTGATCACATGATCACCTGGGATACAACAAAGATCATAAATACGAACCAGTTGCCAAGCATCTGAATTTTGATCACATGATCATGGGGATGCTGTAAAGGTCTTAACTGTGAAAAACAGCATAAGTCACATCTTTCAGTGCTGTTGTAACTTTGAACTGTCACTAAATGAATTGTTGTAAGTTGAGGACTATCCAATAGCTATGGAGTTAAACATCATCAGTTTGAGGAAGAGTTGCATTCTCCATTTCTCATAGAAATAGATTGTGGACCATTGCAATGGGATGGCAGAAGTGATTATTTTCATCATGACACCAAAGTAGTATTTGTTAGCTGTATATCTGGAGTTTCATTTAGGACCTCACAGCATCCTCCCTTCCTGTTTTTTACTGTAACAATAACATTGTTAAGTGAGTTGGCTTGAGCGAGAGTCAACGCCCTCAAGACTCTATGGTTGAAGATAGACTAGAACCTTTGCTCCTAAGCCAGCATCTTAACTGCTACAACACACTCATTCTCTCTTTCTGGTAATCCCTGTAAACATCACCAATATCTGAATGCTCATAATGTAGCAAATGTAGCTCATGCATTTCTGCCATTTTCTGTGCAACCTCCATTTACTCTATTTGCTTTCTCTCATTTTATTCCCAGTTACTCCTGAAGCAATTGGGTTCCTCTCTGCTGTTGGGGTCTTTATAGTTATCCTTGCAGTCCTCTCCCTCTTCATCAACAAGAAGCTCTGTTTTGAAAAGATTGGAGGTCTTCCCTGCCTGGAGCAACAAGGGAAGCACAAGCACTACAAAGAAAAATCTGGGGTTCGGGAGGGGCTTGGTAAGTAATATGCAATATTCTGGCAACGACAGCATCAGCAGCAAGATTCTCATCTTGTAGATTTTAATAACTTATTTCTCTTTTGATATTGATTGCATGCAAAACTTTAGTTTAGCCAAAACAGCTGCCTTAATGTTTTCCTAAGCCTATAATCTTTGCACTATAATCAATCTTTTCTCTTTCCAAAAATAAATCACAACATACATTGTATTGCAACTTATCTCTTTTTAACCTGCAAGACTTTGGACACAAGGCATGAGCCACGTGGGTGATTCTTAATTTTTCTTTATGTGTGCTTTCTGTTTGGTGATAGATACTTAGCTCCCTTCGGATTAAGATGTACATTTGTTTATTTGTGTCAGAAACATCACAATTAAAATAAGGCATATTATGTGACATAACATTTGAAATATTAAATTAAGATATATGCAAAGGATATAGTTAGTATCTGTTTGTATTTGTCTGTCTGTCTGTCTAATCCAGGGGTAGGCAACCTTGGCTCTTTTATGACTCATGGACTTCAACTCCCAGAATTCATAAAAGAGCCAAGGTTGCCTATCCCTGGTCTAATCTATCTATCTATCTATCTATCTATCTATCTATCTATCTATCTATCTATCTATCTATCTATCTATCTATCTATCTATCTATCATCTTTCTGGCAGCACACTTACTATAATCTTGCAGCATTTTTATCTGTGTTTCCCCCCCCCCCCATTTACAGAACTTCCTCATTGGTTGTTTATGACATGATAGCACAATGAAGTATTTTTTCACCATTAAAAAGTTGAAATGCTGATCCCTGATCAATAGAACATATTGTAAATGTATTAGTTAAAAACAAAAAGAAAAGGGACATAGTTTGCTTTCAGATTACGTGTGTGTGTGTGTGTGTGTGTGTGCGTGAGAGAGAGAGAGAGAGAGAGAGAGAGAGAGAGAGAGAGAGAGAGAGAGAGATTGGGCATTTAAAGCTTAATTTGATTAAAAATTGTAGCATGGTCTGGAAGAGCAGAGGGAAAAATGGGATTGGACAAGAAACACAATCAAATTGAAAAAAACATACAACTACACAGTGTTTTAGTTCTGTCTATAACAGCCAATGTCTTTGGGATGGTGCTTATTCTGGTATATAAAAGAATTACATTAGTTGATGGGGCAAGTCAAGTGGTTTATTTATACATATAAGACAGGGGTCCTCAAAGGTAGCCACTTTAAGACTTGTGGACTTCAACTCCCAGAATTCCCCAGCCAGTTGAAGTCCACAAGTCTTAAAGTGGCCAAGTTTGAGGACCCCTGATATAAGACCTTTGTTGATATGTAATGGCATACTTAGGTATTCTGGTCAGTGAATGGGAATGAATGACTTAGTTCATCCCTGAATTTGAGCAGTAGTTAATTGTTGATTTCAGATTTTGACTAGTGCTATCCTGAAATGATGATTGCTCTGGACTTGGATGAATACAGGAATGACTTAGTTTAGTGTGTCAGTGTCATAGAAATATGTTCATATAGATCAGTGGTGGCGAACCTATGGCACGGGTGCCAGAAGCAGCACTCAGAGCCCTCTCTGTGGGAACGCACGCCGACGCCTCACTCCTAGGCCTTCAGCTGGGTTTTATAAAACCTTTTCGCTTTAGGCGTATGCTGCCGTGTGCAAAACAAAAAAAGGTTCAATCAATCAGTCAATTTCAACTTCTCACAGGAAAAAAAAGATCTTGCAAAGTTGGAATTGATTGATCGAACTTTTTAGTCCCACTTGGTCTGCCGTTACCACTGCAGCCACACCCACCCAATGGGCCACACCCACCCAATGGGCCACACCCATCCGGCACTCAACGATGCATAAGTGGGTTTTGGGTTGCAGTTTGGGCACTCGGTCTCTAAAAGTTCGCCATCACTGGTATAGATATTCAAATGACAGTCCCACTCGGTCTGCTGTTACCACCGCAGCCACACCCACCCAATGGGCCACACCCACCCAATGGACCACACCCATCTGGCACTCGACAATGCATAAGTGGGTTTTGGGTTGCAGTTTGGGCACTCGGTCTCTAAAAGGTTCGCCATCACTGATATAGATATTCAAATGACATACAGAAAATACAACATTTTAGCTTTTAGTTTTCCTCTGAGTGAATTTTGAGAAGTACTCTTTTGGGTTCTTAAGGTAACTAATGGATTTTTGTTTCAATGGGTCAGTTTTTTGTGCTTCAACAAGAAGATGGTTTGCAGATGTCTTTTTTAATCTTATCATGTAGGTAGTGCTGGAGAAAAAGTAACTGCAGTGAGTTGTCTAGTCATGACATCATTGACAATGTATTCTCTTAGTTCCAGATACTTGAGCCTGTCGGAAACAAATCTAGGATTATCTGTGTTCCAATAATCATATTTTGGTATTTTAATTTATTATTTCAGTTTTGAGGCTGCCCAACATCTTAGCGACTCTGGGCAGTTTACAGATGAAAATCAAAAGAAAACAAAATATATCAAAAAGAAAAAGGAGAGAAGCAACCAGGAACCAACCCCCATCCTCCAAAAGCCAACCAAGGGGGCTCAACCCCCATCCTAGCTCAGGGCATAGAAAACTAACCAGGTTGTGAGCAGTTTGCGGAAAGTCAAGAAAATGGGAGCAGTATGAATAACAAATAATTGATCAAATACATAACCCTTATATCCTCTTTTTGTGCCATGACACAGTCGCAACTCAGAAACTCCTAATTAACCATAGTTAATTAACCATAGGATTGATTACTAAATTTGCTACATGCTAGAATCTGAAATTTGCATCAGAGCCTAAGATACTAGCTTGTTCTATCTTATCAATGATGGAAGTCTATTAATAATAGATAAAGTAAAATGGAATGCTCTAGTTCAGTGGTGGCAAACTTATGGCATGGGTGCCAGAGGCGGCACTCGGAGCCCTCTCTCTGGGCACCTGTGCCGTTGTCCCAGCCTTGCCTCCCCCACGACTCGCTCCTCACCAGCAGCCCCCTTGGAGGAGAATCGCTCCCGAGTGTGGACTATACGGAGCAGCGCAGCCAAGGACATGGCAGCCAGGGAGCATAGACAGGACTCTGCCCTTATGCCCCATCATGCATAGTTGATGCTGCGGGGTGTGGGCAGAGGGTATGGCTGCCATGGTGCTGCTGGGCTGCCTGGGCAATCTGCGGTGGACTCTGGAGGCGGTGAGTGGCCCTGCGGGCAGGCAGGGTGGGGCAGAGCGGGGGCGGGGCAGGGGATGAAGTGAGGGCGGGGCCAGTTTTTGGGCACTCGGTCTCTAAAAGGTTCACCATCACTGCTCTAGTTAGTTGGATTTCTGAACAATGTGCAGCAGCAGAATAGGTTGAACATTTTTTTCTGCACCTTCCTGATTGGAAGAACTTTCAAGGAGCATAGGAAGCATTTTCAAGGAGCATTTTCAAGGAGTATTTGCTTCTGGAAAGAGTGGTGGGATTGGTTGAACTGCAGACATATTCTGCAAAGCAGATGGTCTGTTTTGCACATACATGCTAAAAATAGTGTATTTAAATTCGAACGTATGTAATCCTGATAAATATAAAATTGGGTATACGTGCTTAACAGTGTGCATGAAAGAGACACTTTCCATGCATTATAGATGTGTAGATGTTGAGAAGTGTATGTGTGTATGTGGGGGGATGATTCTGGTCCTAGCACCCATAACTTGAAACTTCCTTCAGTTCTACAGTATTTGTGCTCTGCTCCTTCTATTTTCTTCTCTGCCATACTTCCAGTATTACATAAACATTGATATTCTTCTGTTAAAATTTTCTTTTGTGTGAGTATTGCAAAATCTTTCTTTTTCTTGACAAATAGCACGATGGAGAGCCTTTATAAATGACAACATCTCTCCTTCCCTTTATGTGGGTGTTGACATTTTTTGGGAGCTGCCAGAGATGATCTTGCAAACATATATTTACTGAAGCTTTTAAAAAAGTGAATGATTAATTAATAGGGGATGTTTTAAAATCAAGTAAAGTGAGAAGGGGGAGGGGAATTCATTTGCTTCCAAGCTGTAGTGATTTGCATTTGAAAGTGATTCTTTCACTTACATGTGATTGACAAGTAAAACCTTGAAAACTATGGTACTTATAATGGAAAGATTTGTATTGATTCTAACCACAGCTTTTGAAAGCAGGTGGATTATACCGCCTGGGGGTGGGGCAGGGAAAAGCAGAGCTCCAGTTGGGATGCAACTAAGGTACTAAGCAAAGTTGGCTGAAAAACTAGGTGTGAATGGGTTGCATTATTTTGAAAGGAGTTTCATAATTTTGAAATTCTAAGTCAAGTCTATCAAGATCTAAGTGTGATGGGGCCAGTTGCATTTTATTTGCTCACATTCCTGCTCATGCACTAAAACCAAAGTGGAGAGGATCTTCTCTTAAAAGCAGGATGATTTCTGGGGAGCAACCACTCCCCTGCCTTAACTGTGCCATGTTCCATTTCTCCCATTACTTTATAACAACAACAACAATAAAAAGTTGGAAGGGATCTTGGAGGTCATTTAGTCCACCCCCCTGCTCAGGCAGGAAACCCTATACCATTTCAGACAAATGGCTGTCTAGTCTCTTCTTAAAAACTTCCAGTGTTGGAACATTCACCGCTTCTGGAGGCAACTTGTTCCACTGGTTAATTGTTCTAACTGTCAGGAAGTTTCTCCTTAGTTCTAGGTTGCTTCTCTCCTTGATTAATTTCCATCCGTTGCTTCTTGTTTTGCCTTCAGGCACTGTGGAGAATAGCTTGACTCCCTCTTTTTTGTGGCAGCCCCTGAGATACTAGAACACTGCTATCATGTCCCCCCTCATCCTTCTCTTCGTTAAACGAGACATACCCAATTCCAGCAACCGTTCCTTATATGTTTTAGCCTCCATTCCCTAATCATCTTTCTTGCTCTTCTCTGCACTCTTTCTAGAGTCTCAACATCTTTTTTACATTGTGGTGACCAAAACTGGATGCAATATTCCAAGTGTGGCCTTACCAAGGCATTGTAAAGTGGTATTAATACTTCATGTGATCTTGATTCTATCCCTCTGTTAATGCAGCCCACCACTGTGTTGGCTTTTTTGGCATCTGCAGCACACTGCTGGCTCATATTTAAGTGATTGTGATTTGACTGGCTTCTGGTATAGATGCCCTTCAGATGTCATTGATATCAACTCATGGATCTCTTGCCAGCTCCCATTAGTATGAATAGCAATTAAATGAATAGAGAGATAGTCAAGCTTTATAGGTCATGAAGACAGCAAATGATTGCATTTCAGAAGTAAGATAAATGCAACCTTGTATTAAGCTTGACTCCAGATGACTACATGAATGTGCCCTCATAGGTTTGGGGGCAACACTATGAAATTTGTCATCTGCAAATTTGATGAGTTCCCCATCTATCCCCTCATCCAAATCATTGATGAAGATGTTGATATTTTCTTTCAAAAAAGGGGAAAAAATGGATCCAGGAAACTACAGACCTATCAGCCTGACCTCAATAACCTAGGAAGATTCTGGAAAAGATAACCAAATAATGAATCAGCGAACACCTAGAGGCAAACAAAGTCATTACCAAAAGCCATCATGCATTTGTTAAAAACAGATCATGCCAGACAAATCTTATTGCATTCTTTGCCCGGTGACAAAATTAGTGGACCAGAGGAATGCTGTGGATATACTGACTTGGACTTCAGTAAGGCATTTGATAAAGTAGACTACAACCTACTTCTTGATAAGATAGAAAAATGCGGGTTAGACAGCATCACCACCAGATGGATCCATAGCTGGCTGACCGGCCATACTCAGCGTGTGATCCTCAATGGAATCGCATCTACATGGAAGTGTGTAGTGGGGTGCCCCAGGGCTCTGTTCTGGGCCCAGTGCTCTTCAACATCTTCATCAATGATTTGGATGAGGGTATAGATGGGGAACTCATCAAATTTGCAGATGACACCAAGCTGGCAGGAATAGCCAAAACTCCAGAAGATAGGCTTAAGATACAGAAGGATCTTGACAGACCTGAACATTGGGCACTATGGGGGTTAGACTAGATGCCTCCAAGGTCCCTTCCAACTTTATTATTATTATTATAAAGGGGCTAGGTCAGTGATGGCGAACCTTTTAGAGTCCGAGTGCCCAAACTGCAACCCAAAAGCCACTTATGCATCGTCAGGTGCTGGGTGGGTGTGGCCCATTGGGTGGGTGTGGCCCATTGGGTAGGCATGGCAGACTGGGTGGGACTAAAAAGTTCAATCAATCAATTCCAACTTTGCAAGATCTTTTTTTTTCCCGCGAGAAGTTGAAATTGATTGATTGAACCTTTTTTTTTTTTTGCACATGGCAGAGGCCTAAAGCAAAAAGGTTTTATAAAACCCAGCTGAAGGCCTAGGACTGGGGCAACGGCGCGCATGCCCACAGAGAGGGCTCTGAGTGCCGCCTCTGGCACCCATGCCATAGGTTCGCCACCACTGGGCTAGGTACTGCCCTCTTATTCTTATACGATTTTTCCCCCTTTCCAATCTTGCCTATAGCCCTAGGATTTTTCTAGTAGTGTCCCAGTCTACAGCTAGCTCTGTATAACTTTTGAACTCAGCTAAGGTTGCTAGGTGCTAGTATCTGCTGTGACTCTTTAGGAGGTAGAATGTTAAACTATATGTAACCAAAGAAAAGGCACTCAGTTCTTCCATATTTTTATTAATGACTTGGATGAAGAGCTTGAAGGTATATCAATTGTCACAAAATTGTGTGAGATGGCTAATATCCTAGAAATAAGATTCAGTGTGATCTTGAAAGGTTAGAGAAATAGGCTGAAAGTAATAGAAAGAAATTTAACAGATGCAAATGGTTTATCAGAACCAGCAACCATCCAGGTATAGAATGGAGCTCATTTTTGCTTTGCTAATGGTATGTATGGAAAAGGTCTTGGAATAGTCACCTCTGTAATTTGGCAACTGCATGAGGTAGCATTGTTGGCAGACCCTTAGACCGAATGGGTATTTCTCTGGCATGGTGTTGCAGCTGTCAAGGGCAGTCATGTGATCCTGGAAAAAGATGCAGCTGCTTTTATCATTGCCAATGTGTGCAAGATGAGCATTGCATGCTCCAAAGCACAGCACTCAAAATAGCCTGTTATTTACAGAGATGTGCAGAATGCGGTCTTGAATAGGACTAGAGCAGGAACCTAGACAATTTTAAGATGTGGATTTCAACTCCCAGAAATCCCTAGCTGGTCATACTACTGGGGAACTCTGGGAGTTGTAATCTGTATGCCTTAAAGTTGGCAAGGTTAAGAAACATAGATTTAGAATATAAACTAGTCTTGATTAGATAATGTTGACATAATGATTTGGCTGATGTACTGGTTTAGCAACAGATAGATATTTAAACCCATATAACAAACAAGTTCATGCAACATACTATGTCAACCCTTTGAAATAGTTTAGGTCATGAAATAGACTCTACAGGTTTGTCTATTATACTTTATTGCTACAGGCTCTTTTAATTACCTCTCTTTCTTAAGCCCCAGGGAATTAGGATGCAACAGTCTGAGTTTCTTTATTTTTATTCATTTCCTGGGGTTAAAGCATGTCTTTTTTATTGTTGCTGCATAGTTTCTTGAAGGTCATCTCTGTAGTTCTCTATGCATGTAATCACAGACTGTAAGGGCTGGACAGGAACTGGGAGATAATTTAATACAGTTCCTACCCAGTGGAAGAATATATTTCCACAATAATGGTATGGCTAACCAACCTGTGCTTAACTCTTCCAGCAAAGGTGTGTGCATTACTTCCTAGGGTGGTCTGTTTCACTGTTAAACAACTTGTACCAATTTTTTTTCCTGATGTCCCACCAAAATCTACTGCCTTATAAGCTATTGTTTCTTGCCCTATCTTAGAGAAAAATTCTTAAGAGATTTTCCCATCTTCATATGCATGAAAGCCTCAAATATTGACAGCTATCAAGCCTTTCCATCTTTTTTTTTTTCAAAGCTAAAACATACTGAAATGCTTCTAAAAGTTCATTGTGTTTTCCTTCCTGGCTCCTTATCACCTTGATTGCTGTCCTCTGGACATGCTCCAGTTTGTTAGTGACACTCAGTACTGGATGCAATATTTTAGGTATGGGCTTACCAACACAGAATAGAGATTAATAATAATTGTTATTGATCTTGGCTCAGTATTTCAGTTGATGCTACCGAGGCTTGGTTTTGGTTTGCAGCTGCATAACACTGTTGGGTCATTTTTAGTTTGGGATCCACCAAGATAGTCAGATCCTTTTTTGTTTTTTAAAATTTTTTATTGATTTTTTAATGCAATTCAAAAGAAGAAACAGAATATTTTCAAACTTGGGACTTATTTTATCAATGGCTATAGAAAAGAATAAGGGATTAGGAATCCAATTTGTATTAGTGAATGATATACTCACACAACATGTTTGTTGAATAAGTACTTTTGAATAGTAGTAGTAGTGGTGGTGATGGTGGTGGTGGTGGTGGTGGTGGTGGTGGTGGTGGTGATGATGATGATGATGATGAAGATGAAGGGTCCAGGTAGTTGAGGGCCCCGTTATTATTGTTACATCTTACATCCTGGTCAAGGAGGGCAATGACTAGACTCTAGATTGTTTGTTCAGCATAACAATTAACATATTTCACAATAATATATTTGCTGTTTCCTTTTCTTTGTATTCTTATCCAGATGCTCTCATCTGGACCCTCAAATTACATTCAGATTCCTGGATCTTAATATATAACATTTATTTCCTTCACATATAATGCCAATATTCCTCACTTTCCTTTTGTCTGGCTTGTTTCTTTTATATAAATTATATTCATCAGTCTTTGTATTCTATTAGTGAGTTTCATTCTACCACTTTTCAGTAAAGTGTATTAAACGTCTTAATCTTTAAGCAGATATCATGTGAATCCAGCTATTATGGTTTATAAACCATCGTTAGATAAATCATGACTTAATACAAAATATGAGTCTATTCAATATCAATTGTAAATGTCTGTTGAATTACATCTGTGCAAGGGCTGTCATAATCTCAGCTGCTTGGCTGCAAATAACTTTGTTCTACAAATGCTGCAGGCAAACTGGATTCATAATAGGAGTTGACAGCTTGGGTGACTTAATAAGTTGTATCCATAAGGATAGGCATAGCAAGAAATAGTTTGATGCTTAGAAGTTTTGTTTTGTTCCTCCTGCAAGATTTTAACAAGATGTTGATATAGGTACTTTATCTTTTTCTTTTATCAAATAGCAATACAAAACTATTGAGTGTTCCAATGATTTGTATTCAGGATTTATTCCAGCCATTTTGATTTAGCTGTGCTTGCCACTTAGGATGAATCTGTCATATTAATCTAATCATAAGTGCCTCCTGTCTCCTTATTATCTACATAGATGTGCAATAACCCATCAAGATAGCTTGTTAGCACCTTTCTGGATTTGCAAGGGTTTGACTCTAGAACCTTTCATATGTGCGGTGAGATTTACAAGCATTTTTCATAATCTACTATTACTTTGATGCTTTTAAGGTAAAATCAAATACTGCCCAGGGTCTTCTTTTTCTTGGTTCTATCTTCTTAGCTTGATTTAGTGATTAACAAAGATGATTGTTAAGAAGAACAGATGACTCAAACTAATTCCCTGTAATGCTTATTCTGTAGCTCAAAGAGCATTGAATCTGATACACTGGCAAAGAGGAACAGCTGGAATTTATGACCATCACAGGTTTTGCTCATTAAATATATAAAAAGTATGGCTTCAGAGGATGTCCTAAGCTTCTTCCAGCCATTTTCCTCCTGGATATCTCGAGTCTATGAGGCTTTACAGCAAGCAGGAGAATCCTTATCTTCTTCTTTGAATAATCTGGGAAGCAAACCAGATCAAAATGGATTTGATGGGAAAGATGAGGATTTAGAAGACAGTGATGGGCTTTATGAACGCTACTCTATAGGTTCTGATGATGACAGTACTTCAAGTCAGGAGAGTGAGGAATCTCATCATTCTTCATCATCCTGTCAAGATCTTGCTTCACCTGAATCATCAGATCTTGATTTGTATTGGCCTGAGCAGAAAAGAACCATCCCTGACTCCTCAGAGGAGTGCCTTGAGGATTCCTCCCTTGGAGTCTACCAAAGTTACAAGAGTTATCAAGCTATGGAAACTCTCCCCACTATCCCTGAGGAGGAGGAACATCTCCACTCCAAGCAAATTAAGAGTCTTTCATGTAGCTGGGATGGTAAGTTTTTACTCTCCTTTGACAGCATTGCACTTGCTTGTGTAGATGATCTTCCATTTGCAAGACCGATCATCTGTACGTTTAGACAGGCTTCATGTTCTGAATTTTGAGAAGCAGAGGTTAAGAGTTCAGTTTTTCAGTGCACCTTACACCCTACAATTTGAAACTATACAAGAAATGGGCTTTTTTTTCAGAAAACCCTGGGCTACCTTGAAAAATGTTTATGATCCAAAAATATTTGGAAGATCTTGTATACTCTTTGAGCTATTATAAGGCTTTGAAAGAAAATTCCCATTTATCAATTTGCTATGAAGGAAATTAATCTACCAAGTTACAGACCAAACGATGTGCCTCTTCTCTTCTTGCAACATTTAGTGAAGATCAGGATATCCTGTGTGTAAGTCTCACAGCAGACAATTCATATTAGACCCTTTACAATGGGACCTAAGGGGCTTAATTTTCACTTTCTTATCTTACCAAGGCTTGGGGCTGGGAGGGTCTAAGCTGGGAATGGCTTGGATTGGGGTTGGTCCTTGCCTAATGATCTGTGGGATTCAGTTAATGATGGCAATTGGAACTACCAGAATTGTCATCACTTAGCAATGCAAATTCTAGTCGTAACTTGAGGCTATTTGTATACACAAAATCTTAGGACTTCAGAGCACAGATTGGAGGAGAAACTAAGAAATACGTTGCATTCTCTGTATTGTATGTAAATATACATATGTTATACATGTTTTTTTGGGAGTGGGCTTCAAATACTGCTTATCAGGTAGACATTCAGTGGCAGTTATGGAAAACATCTTCAGAGAGCCTTGCCCAAAACAGTTTTAGAGACCTTTGCTTCTCAGATTTGCTTCTCATTTTGCAAAATGTTTTCAAAGAAAAAACCCAAGAAAGTGCAATTGCTTTTTGGAAAAAGCACTTTTGGGTCTACCTGTATCCACATGGATAATATACCTGACTTAAATTGCTTCTATTTGAAGTTCTAGGTGCTTTTAAGAGATAATCCTTAAGTATGCAATCACTGCTAATTAAGCCCTGTTTATTAGTATATTGAACATAAATATATATCCATTCTCAACTCTGATGGAATACTCCTACAATTTTGATACCTTCATAAAGCAATTTCTGTTTTTTAAATCTTCCATCATAGAAGTACTTTTCAATTATCACTTGTTATTCCATGTTTGTAGTACTAGAGACTGGACTTCCTTTCATGTGTCTCAGAAGTTATTTCAACGTGAATATTGAAAGTATTGGAAAAATTGTAGCTCTTCACATGAAGCTTGAAATACTCCTTGAACTTCACATGACTTCATTGCATTGGAATTGTCTTGTACCTGAAAACAGAACCAGTTCTCCTTAAGTCCAGTAAGGAATTGAGAGAGAAGATATTTTCACCTTTGACCAAATCTCTTTTCTGGACATAAATAAGAAATTTGCTTTCAGGGTTCTGAACTCCATATAAATTCTGTTGAAACAGCATACTGTAAATACTTCTCATTTCATATTGTTACTTTTTTGAAAGTGCAATTAAATGTGACAAATGAGCATAGCTGATACTTGGATGATATACTGTTCTGATGCCACCGACTTCAATCTATTAATTTCATATCTAACCTGTGCCGGGTTGATTAAAACAACTGCTTTGTTCCACTGTTGTTAAACCAGACTTTATTTTCTTCAGATCCATTCTCAAAACTGCAAATCTTTGATGCAGCTGGAAACATACTTTCCCACAGTGGCTGCCATTTACCACTGGAGAAAAGTTGCTGTTAGTCATTAGTTAATATTTGTATACTGAGCACATGCATAAACTTAATATCTAACATATTTTGTTCCTAAATACAGAAGGAATGACTCTAAAAATGAAGCTTCTATCTCCTCTATCTTTCCCAACCTGATGTTTTTCAGATGTGGAAGATTTCAAATTTGAAAATTTGACCATGCTGGCTAGGTATTGATACCCCTCCTCATCTGGAGAGGACGGGGTTGGGGAAGGCTACCTTTAATATTTAATCCCTACTCTTTAAATTCTCTTTCAAACACCAAACATATGAAAACTCAGTAGAAGAGTCTTTATGATTATCTAAGGCTAAGCTGAGGTCTGGTGGTCTGGTGCATAACATTTGGTAACATCCCTGGCCCATAAATGTGTTCTCCTGCCTCAAAATTGTAAATAGTTCTCTTAGTGTGGGGTTTTGTGGGGTTTTTTTCCGGTTCAGTGGAGTTTCGTCTGTGTCTGTTTTCGCTTTTTTATTGCTGCTTTTTTTGGGGGGGAGGGGGATGTTGCTTTCTCCACTTTTAGTCTTAATGTACCATCTTTCACCCAGCTCCCCCAAAAATATAATAAAGGCTTTTAATGATAAATTGACACAAAACAAGAGCAATACTTGAATGCTTTTTGTTGCCATAGAAGCACTTCTGGTAGATCACAAAAGGACCCTTTTGCTAATAGTAAACTATGAGAAGAAAATAGACATGCTCTTCATCAAGTAATTGCTGTTGATGAAAAAGCAAAGAAGCCTTATGTTCTTAGTCCAGAATACACTTTACTGAATGTACATGATTTTCATTTTGGGAAGGGGCAGGAGGAAACAGGAGAATAAATATCTTATTATGACAATTTTCATCCTGTGCTTGAATAAAGGAGGAACATAAAATCTAGAATATTTGGAGATAGTTTAGAAGTGCCAATGCTATGTTTAACTCCTAATATTTTCTCTCTTTCTGAGCTCAGAAAAATCATCTTGCAGTTTTCAAGAGTGTTTCATTTTTAAAGAGAGCTAAGTAATATTTCTCTGCCTACTCTCAGGAAAATGTTTACACTAGAAAAAATGCAAGTGATGTGTATTTGTGGATATGGACATACATCAGACACATCAAAACATGGACATCTTCAGTGCAGGTATTGAGTTAAAATAGTAAAGGAATGCACAGTCCATCTAAGCATAGACTAAACCAACATTTACGCTGTCATATACATGTGCAAAGCAAAGTATGGTCTTGGGTTAATGCAAGCTTGCACTGTACATTCAAAAGTCTGTGTGATCACTGATGATATTACACCAGCTTTCAGTTGCAATTGTAGCTGGAAATGCAATTCGACTGTCTGGTCAACCAATCTCTGTGATATATGAGCCATAAAAATACCCGCAGCCCTTAGCTTTCTGCAAATTGACATACAGGTATAGTAGTTGCTAAAGCTGCCTTGAAGACCAACTGTGTTCTTGATTATGACATTGAAAAATCTACACACTTTTCATCACAATAGCAATGGCTGGAATTTATCACTGCTTTCTTCCATTTTTTTAAAACTACCAAGGTAGACCTAGTGATATTTAACAGAATAACAGAGTTGGAAGGGACTTCAGAGATCTTCTAATCCAGGGGTCTTCAAACTTGGCCCTTTTATGACTTGTTGACTTCAACTCCCAGAATTCCTCAGCCAGGCACACTAGCTGAGGAATTCTGGGAGTTGAAGTCCACAAGTTATAAAAGGGCCAAGTTTGAAGACCCCTGTTCTAGTCCAACCCTCTGCTCAAGCAGGAGTCCCTATACCATTCGAGACAAGTGGCTATCCAATCTCTTTTTAAAGCCTCCAGTGATGGAGCACACATAACTTCTGAAAGCTAGCCATTCCACTGGTTAATTGTTCTCACTGGGAAATTTCTCCTTAGTTCTATGTTGCTTCTGTCCTCAATTAATTTCCATCCATTGTTTCCTAGGGGTTTCCAGCCAAATACTAGCCAAATCCAAATCTTCCTAGCTTTCTGCAGGTTGCCAAGGTCAGCCAGATGCTACCACAGTCTATGCACACATTTTACATCAGGAGATGGTTTCCATAAATATTCATACATTACTACCTATTATAATTCTAAGTGTCAAACCTCTCTATATAGAGAGTTATATATTCCAGGTTCAAATATTACAGTACATTTCCGGCTCTGTTTCCTAAATGAGCAAGAGCCAATAATTTCTTGTGCATCCTTATTGTATTGGCCTGTCTATTCTCACCTTCTTTGCACCTGATCTTGGTCCTTCTAATCTTCACACTTGCTTGAGAGTTATGAGATCCCAAGTTTATCCTGTGGTATCTCTGATAGGATTGGGAGAACTTGCTGGCTATGAAATTCAGGAGAAGTGCTCCCACTTCCTACAGATCAATCATCCAGTTACCTATTGCAGAATGATTGTTCCAGATTCATGGCTGACACCATTAATCTTGAAAGCAGCAGTTGTGAGTTCTTTTGTTGTTAATTTCTACATTATCAGTTTCTACAATTTCTCCATAGCACCTAAAAAGGATTTTTTTTTGTACTGCTGCCATCAGTCAGAAGTATATGATAATTCTGGGATCCACTGAATTATCAACTGCTTCTTTAAAATTCTTATATGGAAGCAGAAAATACATTTGGTTGAACAGATGGTTCAGAGCTATTAACTTTCAGCAAGAAGCAAACAATATTTTGTACTTTTGATAATTAGAAGCTTCTTGAGATTGCCAGTTCAGTTTACTTCAAAGTTTACTTTACTTGATGGGAATAACTTAATAAAGTTTTGTTATGGTTATGGCTTAATTATATTTGTTAACAATGTTTTCTTGGTTAGTGTATCTTGCTAATTGACATAGAGCTGCTTGTTAACACAAACTTTTTTTACATCCTTTCTCTGAATTAGACCAGGACCAAGAGCTCTTTCATTCTTTTAAACATTTCTGATTGTATATATTATTTTGTTTAATCCTTCCATTCTCTTTACTCAAAGACTACACCAACTACACTAGTGGTTCTCTTAGAATGAACTTTCTTAACTCCCTTTCAGTGACTTTCAAGCAATACTGCATTTCTATTGTTTAAAATATGTTTTCTCTTGCCAACTACCTCTTGCCCAGGACAATCTCTTCTCCAGTAGATGCATGTATGTTATGTGGAAAATACATAATACAAGGCTGTAACAATGCAATTCACAATCAAACCAATGCAATTCACAATCAAACCAATGCAATTCACAATCAAACCAACTTAGAGACTGAATTACAGCTTCCACAATACTCAAGAACTGGACAAAGACTATTATAATCATTACTGAGATAGTAGACTCATGGTGCAAAGCAGAATAAAGTATACTTCCTTCCTTCCTTCTTTCCTTCCTTCCTTCCTTCCTTCCTTCCTTCCTTCCTTCCTTCCTTCCTTCCTTCCTTCCTTCCTTCCTTCCTTCCCCTTCCTAAATTGATTGCTTTCTTTTGTCTTCATGCACACAGAATCCTTTTCACAGGATACGTAGAATCATCTGTATATCCTGTCTGTCTGTCTGTCTATCTATCTGTCTATCTATCTATCTATCTTCTATAAGCCTCCCATCTCAGCCAAGAGACTCTGGGAGGCTTAAAATTCTAAATTATAACATGTTCTATCCAGACCATGTTTAACATGGTCCCTAATTGGTAGATTCCCCTAATTCTTTACTTCCTAGCCACACATGCCAGGAAGTCCTCAGTTGTTTGCCATTCTATGGGTGGATCTTACAGGCCATGTGCCTTCAGTAAAAAGCCCACTCAGAGACATCCCTTCTATTGAAATAGCCAGCGTACACCTATAGTAAAGCAATTATAAACTTTTTATCTTTGATTAATTATATGTATTTTTTTTAAAAAACAACAACACTCAATGCTACTTACACAGTTACAGAATGAAATGCACATTATGTGCCCACATAGCAACTAGTTTTACAACAAAAATCCCTTTCTTAATTTTTTCCAGGCTTAGTCCCTTAATCCTGAGGCTTTTGTTGCTATAGAATTCCTGCAACGTAGTTGTTCCTTGCCACTATCTCTAGATTCTAGACTCATATCTACCCAACTGTTCTTTCTTTTCATATGGAGGGACCTACTTGTAAACAAACAAACAAACAAAAAAATAACAGATTATTGGCATTTACAATGTTTAGTTTCCAAGTTCATTCCTATGGATCTCAAGAAATAAAATCTATACTGGAAGCTGATGCTTTGCAATACTATACATCAAAGTCAGGACAGAAAGTCATCTGGGCACTAAAGGATGTGAGGGGGAAGGAGGAGGAGGAGGAGGAGGAGGAGGAGGAGGAGGAGGAGGAGAATTTGATGGAAATAAGTGCCAGCATGTGAAGTGTGTCTTCAGAATACACATATGTGCTCTAAGGAAGTGACTTCTTTACTTCCCAAAGAGTTGGAAATGAAAGGATTGACCATATTTATTTATTGACAGATTTTGAACAACAAATCTCATTTATGCCATAGTGGTAATATTTTCAATGGTTCTGTAAGGAAGCTTATATTACTGAAACCCTGTTGGTGTCATCTGCAATCTTTTGAGTGAACGTTAGGTTTAGGTTCATGGCCATGCAGTAGATATACTTCTTAAGAGTGAAATAAAAACCTTTGTAGATCAAACAAAAGAATTAAGTAACCTACTACCCTGTTTCCTCTAGTGCAGGGGTAGGCAACCTTGGCTCTTTTATGATTTGTGGACTTCAACTCCCAGAATTCCTAGCCAGCCATGCTGGCTCAGGAATTCCGGGAGTTGAAGTCCACAAGTCATAAAAGAGCCAAGATTGCCTACCCCTGCTCTAGTGGCTAATTGTAGGAAACTGTAGCTTTTACCTTAAACACCATGTTTGATTTTTCCTTTTTTTTAATTCATTGAGACAGAATAAAATCCAAGAAATGAAGGAATGGAAATATATTCCCATTTTAGCTAACAACTGTTGAGCACCTTACGCCATTCATCATCCACATTAAGCCACAACGTATTTAACATGGTGTGCTGAATAAATCACAGTGGTTAAGGTTCCCCATTATAGTAAGCCATAAGCCAGAAAGTTTATGCAATGTTTTCAATTATTTTCTTCATTAATTTGTATTATATCCAACTGCATAAATCTAAATACTTACAGTAGCTCTCTGCATGAACCAGTTTGATTTAGTGGTTAAGGCACCAGGCTCGAAAGCAAGAAACCGTGACTTCAAGTCTTTCCTTAACCACAAGAGCCAACTGGGTGGCCTTGGGCCAGTAACTCACTCTCAGCCTAACCCACCTCCCACAGTTGTTATTGTTGTTGGGTAAATAGGATGAGAAATGTGTCTTGGATATGTTTGCTGCCTTGAGTTATTTCTAAAAATAGTAAAGACGGAATACATATAAATTTTTTTAAAATCCTTATTTTTCTTTTTCATATTCAGTGGGAAACATAAGTAGTATTACAGTAATTATTTATAAATTTGACCTCTGTCTACGGGGAAGGGAGATTAGTTACATAAGGAGAGCCAAGACAATATTATTATCTAGCATTATGGATAGGGTAAAATAAAGTGAAAACAAAAGGAGGCTGATACCTTCACCCTGTATATACTCACATCTATATATAGTATGCACATACACGAAATGCATGGGTATGGAAGTTAGAAGGAGGCTTTCTCTGTTAATAGATAGAGCTTGGATTCTTGTGCCTAGTTAGTATAAGACCAGTTCTGTAACTTTTTTAAAAAAGTTTTTTATTTATAACTGTAACTTTTTTATTTTTTTATTTTTTATCTGTACCTTTGACATTGAAGCTTTTGCTACATTATTTTAGGCTTGCAAATGCTTGACTTTTCTATGCCTGCAGCCTCATCCCTAAGCTTTGAGGTATTTCTAGAGTGAGTTTGAGGTATGAGCTAAGCTTACAAATTTGGCTATGAAAGAGCAGGTGTTTCAACACCATCATCTACTAATTGATATAAAAAAATAGTGTGCCACTTCTTGATGTTTTTTTTTTTTTTTTTTTTTGCCATCTGCATCCAGGCAAACAACAGGAGGAATCTTTCCTTTGGGAACTGCTGGGGTGGGGGAGTGGTGGATATAAGTGACAATTTGTGTGCGTGCTCTCTCTTTTTCTCTCTCACACACATACACACACACTGTCAGATGCATTTGAATACACCAGCTGTCTAGTGTGTTACTATGTTGTGCTGCCTTTTTTTTTTAAGGATACAGGAATACAGCTCTGGCAACACAGATTTTTTTTTCAGTATTGTCAAAAGTATATGCAAAGAATATGGAGCCATGTCTTTGAGGGCTTGATATTCTTTTGCACAAATATGTTGTTAGCCTTACTGTATTTCTGTATCCGGCATATGAGATTGCCTTCTCTTTAGTGGCCCAGCAGACTTGGAGATCTATCAGGCATGCTTTCTTCACAATCCCATCAGTTCTGCTGCCTTAATCAATAGGAGCATGAGATTTCACAGTGACTATCGCCCCAGGTCAAAGTTTTCGCAGAGCTTTCAACTGACTGACTACATTCAGAAAGTGAATCTGGTGATCATCAAAATTATGACTTTGACCAAGTAGCAAAGAAGTTGGGACTTTTAATGGCATTTTCTATGCAGGGATTTTATTGTCTGTATCCAATACATTGATAGCAGACAGAAATAATTAATATGGAGTATTGCAGCTGATCTTGAAACCCTGTCCAGGTTCATTTATGACATGAATATACCTTATCCTTTTCCAATTGGAATAGCTGGGGAGGCTTTTTTCATTTGTAATTAAGTTCAGATGATAATCATTGATCTCCAATAAATATTTCCTTTCCTATTCCTACAGCACTTTGTACTGGGTTTAAAATATTAATAACAGTGATGGATAAATAAATATTTAAGCCAAATAGCATTTTAAATCATCACGTATGGCTCATATGAACATTGTGGAGGATATAGGGAGCAAGGTTGAGAAGAGTCTGATTTACAGTTAATACGTTTGCCTTTTCAGCTGCAGAGTTAATGTCATTGCTTGTCTGAGGGATTTAATGTGAATCCTTCCTCTTTGTTTGCTGTAGCATTTAACATCTTCATTCAGGATAAAGTTGATGAGTAGAAAACCCTTACAGGTGTACATTTATTCATAATGATTGAGATATTAGAAAATCAACTACTTCAAATAAAACAAATGAAACATCACAAATATTAAACACCAGTATCCTCTTCTTTGGAAGGAAAAAAATGGAATGACAACTAGGGAGAGGAGGAGTAAAAAAAAAAAGAAACATTCATGGTTGTTATGAAGATCACAAACAGAGGGTGGCACACCTCTTGATAAAACACAAACAGCTAATTGGAGATTCTGTATCCAGTGGCTCCTGCCTTGTTTTGTCTTTCTGAGCTTGTAAGATGAAGTTCTACTGCGTTCTGCCTCCTGGGCTGTCACAATCTTCTGTGTGTCTCTCTTTCTCTCAGTGAGCAGTTATGGGGATGATGAAGATCTGACAACATCCTCAGACAGTGATGAAGAGGTGATTAAACAGTTTGAGATCTCAGTTTCTCGTTCACAAAGCTTTCGATCAGGAGTTTCGGAAAAAGGAATCCAAGCAGGTTTGGAGCACAGGCCAAAATTTAACTGCTTGTTGTCAAATCATGAAGAATACAGTACTGAGGCCTCTGAAAGTGAAGGTATTTTATAACTCTTTCAAAAAAAAAACATGAATGGAAATTGCAGAGATAGACAGTTTGGCTCAGTCAAGGGATATGCATAAATAAACAACGTGACTAGAATCTGCTCCAGGGTTGAAGGCCTATGGACCTCTTCTCACAACCAGCTGAACCTCTCTTAAACCTCTTTTAAATCTCTCTTAAAATTAGTCAAACCTTAATAGTAAAAATGACAAAAGCCAATAAAATCAAAAGCTTATAATTTTAATCTGAAGTCAACACATCAGTTCAGAAATGAAATGGGGGAAAAAAATTTAAAAAATACTTTTTAGGAGTATTTGGTAAATAGTACTTGGGAAACAGGCTTCTTAACTTCTCCCGTAATACATCTAACACAGTGGTGGTAAACTTATGGCACGCGTGCCAGAGGCAGCACTCAGAGCCCTCTCTCTTGGCACGCGCGCTGCCGCTGCCAGCAGCAGATCCATCAGGCTGCCACCGCCACCCAGAGCAGGAGCCCCACCCAGCACAAAGGAGGTGAAGCGGCCAACTAGCAAGCTCCAGTAGAGGTAGAGCAGAGGTCATCAACCATTGTTGATTGGCGGACTGGAAGAAAAGGGAGGGGGAAGCATTTTACATGCGTGCATGCGCGCACGGGACCGCGAGCACGCACATGCTGCAAATGGGGCGGGGCTAGTGCCTGCGTGATACTCACTAGCCCTGCCCCATTCTTGCATGGTGCAGCAACTTGTATCTGCACCCCGCAGTGTGGCAGCGGCCATTTTTAAGCCTTGCTACACGGGGCCTACTTTTGCACCCCTGGTTTTTGCGTGCCAGAGGTGGTACTCAGAGGTCCCTTCCTGTCTCCCCCGAGGGCACCACAGTGCAGATGTGCCCCTGACACTTTGCGATAAATAAGTGGGTTTTGGGTTGTGGTTTGGGCACTCGGTCTCTAAAAGGTTTGCCATCACTGATCTAACACCTTAATAGGCTAATATAATGAACATTTGCCTTCGGTAAACTGTAATAATTATTTGTTCAGTGGCCATTCAAAGTTACGACAACACTGAAAAAAAGTGACTTATGACCTTTGCAGCATTCCCTGTGGTAACATGAGCAAAATTCAGACATTTGGCTTCTGGCATTTATTTATGAGGGTGTACTGGGGTCATGTGATCAACTTTTGCGACCTTCTGACAAGCAAAGTCAACAGGGAAGCCAGATTCAGTTAGCAACCGTGTTACTAACTTAATAACTGTGGCAAGAAAGGTCATAAAAATGGGGGCAAAACTCTCTTAACAACTGTCTTATTTAGCAACAGAAAATTTAGGCTAAGTTGTGATCATGAGTCGTCTTTGTTGATGACAACTCTGTGAGTGACATGGGATCCTAAGATATAACTTCAGAAAATGAGTCAAGATGTTTTTTACCAGGTTGCTTGATCTAAATGACCAGCCTTTCTCAAATGCAACAACTTGAAGATCTGTAAACTTCAATTCCCAGAATCCCTCCACCAGCATGCTGAGGTTGAGGTTGCTGAAGCTGACAAATACTAATTTAGATCAGACTTCTCCAATTAGCACCCTCCAGAAAGAAAATGCCAAGTTGGAAAAGATGGACCTGGTGTACCATGCTCTTTGGAATATATCTCACTGACTATTTCTAGTATAGCTAGTTCAACTTTTGGAAATTCTTTATGAGGAGTCCTGCAATAAACTTTTAAGTCAACTCCACAGCAGCATTTTCAGAAGAAACTGAATTATTTGTATTCTGAAATAGGCCCCATTGGCTTGGATAAGACTGGCTCCCAAGAGCAGGCATAGGATTACAGCCTTAGGCAATCAGTAGATTCCCTTGAATTACATTTCTTAACCTTCAAATAGATTTTAATGCTTAACAGATATTCTGGCTGAAGGCCAGATTTGCAAAGCACTGAATATGTGTGCTGGGGGAGGCTGTGTGTGGGAAGTGCGTAAAATAATTTCTCACTAGAGAAACACGTCTATTCTGAAAGCTTACTGCATTTTATTTATTTATTTTAAATTTTAAAACCTGTCTTCCAGCCTACTGCTCTGATGTGTGCCAAGTGTACATCAAACATGTACTGCTTATATTAGAGCTACAATCTGTGATGTACACCATGTTCTGTTCAACATCAGTGGTGCCCGGAGCTTTCATAGTGGAATGAAAAACATCCTACAGCACTCTTGTAGGAAGGAAATCCCATGGCCCTCCAAACAGACAGATTTTGGACAAACACATAGAGAACTGCAATAGTGGTGAATATTTGTAGCTCAGGTGTAGGATGAGGATCTAGGGTAAGAGTCCAAATCAACCACACTGCCAACCAGAGACAGCACTGAATCTCAACCAACACATGCAAGCCCCCCTCCCACCAGTAGTTCACCTCCCAATGACCCTGACGTGATGTAACCTCCTTATCACAAAACCCATCACCAGGCTCACTGATGACTCACACCTGACCCATCACAAGACCCATCACAGACCCTCACTTGTCACACCCACACCTGAAGCCCTTATAAACAAAAGAACACTGACACTGAGATCCCCTAACTCTGCTGTTTAGATGTTACCTGGTAACAAAATGTTCAGAAAACAACCCGCAAGCTCGGAGAATAAACCTTCACTCTCACATAGAAAATTGTATGCAGGATGCCAGTCTGGTTGGTTGGTTACCTGGAAATAGGTTGGAGCTGATTTTCAGTTAAACACTGGTTAAGCAGTGGTGACTTCAGGAAGACTTAATCGTTTGCAAATTTGAATGAGGAAGAAATGCTCTATAAATGTTTGGAAATCTCAGTAGCACATCTGAACTTCATGAAACAATTTCTATTATTCCTGGTTCTGCCAATTTTGCTTCCTTTTCCCTTTTATTTTTCTACTGAATATAGGGATTGCAGTGTAGAAGGAATCATTTAGGCGCTTAGCTTTCTAAAGGGCCTTGACTGTGGTCCTTCAGAAGTCCTTTAAAAGTTATTCTTCCATTGTAATTTTTAATAAAGGAAGGGGGAAATCATTACACTAATTACATTAATACAGTTAATTAAACTTCTTAAACATTAGTTTGATTACAGTGGCAATGGGTGCACAGTTGAAAGACCTGAAAAGCCACATTGGGAACAAATTATTGGGCAGTAGGTCTGTCCATGAGGTTGCTAAGAGTAAACTCTGATTTGGTGGCACATAATCACTCACTTAAAATTACTAATAATTTGGAGAAAGATCATGTTAATAGCATTTAATTATGGTGTCCCATTATTTTGGAATAGTTTACTATCAAAAGTTTCATAAGGCTTTCATTACAGAAGTTATTTAAGATGGTTCAGTTCCACCAAGCCTTCAATTGTAATTTGTTACTACTGGTATCTGATCTAGAGAAATGTAGTTTATATTTCATTGTTTTATATTTTTAGTAACCTGCTCAGAGCCTTTGGATTGGAGAAAGCTATAACATATAAGTTATTTGTAAACTTAAATTTGAATCTGCAGTTATCTATTCTGTCATTTATTTTAATTAAATCTACACATGTTTTAGTTCTGCCAGCCTCTGTGGATTGACCCTGCATGCTGGCTAAGCCTATGAAAGACCAAGTCAAGCTTTTTCAAGCTCTCAGCTTGAAAAAACATGCATACCTTTGCTATAGAAAATAGGTTTTTATGATGTTCATCATAGGGAATCACTGGAGTGTATATATGAAACAAACTTCCTAAGTATGGGACTAACTATGGTTATACCTTTAAATGACATCAGTGTCTTGTCATTTATAACTAACTAATTATAACTAAATCTGAAATCTTTCGAACCCTCAGAACCTTTTTTGAACTGGAATACTTTTATTTCATACTAGGAATTCACAATCTATGTAGTATAATTTCAGGAACCTGAATTGGAGTGTGTATATCTATCTAATTTTTTTTCTCTTTGAAATGCATTAATTTAGATGGGTTTAGCCACCTGAGTTACCAGGACAACCTGTCTTCTCATGAAGATGACCTTCTATCCATCAGTTCAAGAGTGGCGGTGGAGAGCAGGGGCTCTGGACAGCCAAAAGACTCTGAGGTGGATGTTAGTGCAACACCCAGCCTCAGCCGACAAGAAACTGAAGGGAGTCTGGAAATGGAAACAGCTTTCAGCAATCAAGGGTTTGAAGGGAATGAGGAAACTGACAGCTCATTGGCTTGGAGTCCAGAGGTAAGAAAAAGTATTTTTATATAAGAGTGTGCATGGGTCTTGCTAGCAAGGGCTGCTTTTGCATGCACTATCTTTCTAAATACATAATTTGTAGGCTAGTTGTGGTCAGATGGGCAATAATTGATACACATATGGACAAATAACTTCACTACTTGAGTGTGTCTGTACAGATAACTTAAATTGACAGTCATATCCCTTTCTCTAGACATTATTGCAAACTGTAGTTCCAAATATTATGCTACATACCTCTAGTGGGAATTCTTAAAGATCATGACAAGTTGTAATCCCTTGGACTATATAGAAAATATGAAATTTGGCTCTTCTCTACAATGACCCTACAAGAGCAATTGATACTGTACAAATTGTAAATTGTAATGGAAAACTAAGATTTTATTTTAGAGGGTCTCCTCTTAGTTTCAAAAATCCATCTCTCTGTCCTACTGTGGTTTCCATTCCATTTATTGCTAACAGAGCAGTTTTGCTTGTTAGAATTTAATAGAACAGGATGTTATAATTCCTGTCAGGGATGCTGAGAGTTGAGTCCTACATAGTGACAGGGGCAATCCATTCAGGGAATCTAGTAAATTATATTTGAAGTTTCTCCCACCTTCAAACAATCAATCTTTGTAGTGCATGATTTGTCTTCGTATGGTAGCCTTTGGATAGTGGGCGATGCTCACTTGCAAATCTTGAAAGTTGCATTCTACTACCTCTGAAATGTTTTAATGTAGAGCAGGGAGTGCCATATAATTAGTCTTGTACCTTCTTTCTCTCCCCTGTATATTGCACAGGCATCTTGTGATAAATGAATACCCATTCTGCCTGAATTGTTCACATAGGTACTTAATAGAATAGAATAGAATAGAATAGAATAGAATAGAATAGAATAGAATAGAATAGAATAGAATAGAATAACTTTATTATCATTGTGTATCTCACAATGAAATTAAGTGCTGTCCACAGTACATATCACACACAAGAAAAAAACACAAGTAAAAACATACATTATATACAGACATCCTTCACATTCTATTTACTATTGCGCTGCCCTTAATATTGCACTTCAATGTTGCACTATACAGTAGTATTTAATATGGTTACAGCTCTGGGATAAAAACTATTTTTCAGCCTACTTGCTCTCCAATTGTTTTTTTGCTGGGTACTACAAGGTATTCTTACCCTGCTTTATAGTGTTTTGACGCAACTCTTTTTAAGTGACAGTGATAATCACAATGTTTGTGACAGTTCATGCAAAAAACTTGGCCCAAGGTTGTGACTAGTAAGCATCTTCTTATGTTTGGAGCACCGAACATAGCAAGTCTGGATCTCTGTATACTTTGCAACCACTACATCCCTAACATATAGTTGTACGATCTTTGATGCCTTTGTTTTTAGATCTAGTTTTTTAGGACCTTAATTACTCATCAGACAGCTGATTGGCTTGCACATCTCTCCACTCTGAATATCCGCTCCCATGATCAGGCTGTTGATTTACAAAAAGGAACCTACAAGGAATTGATCACTTGGTCCTCATTGAGTTCTTCATCTACATCTTCTTCTTATTTCTAAGCTTTTATCTCAAGGGCTGAACTAAAATGAAGGAAACTAATCATTCATTTTAAGCCCCTCCCATATGATTTATACAAAGATACCACCTGCTGATCCTCTTCTTCCTCAGTCTTATCCCCCTCTTCATTTCTCTGTCTTCCGATCATCTCAATTGGTTGTGGAATTAAGATGATACAATTTCTCCCATCCCACTCCATGAATATAGATGTCCTTCTGTTAGAAATAGTAAGATTTTGATGTTTGGCCCATCCCAACTCAGTCATTTAGAAAAGAAAAGCCTTTGACTGCATCATAAGTGAAAGGAATAGCTTTACTAAAGACAAGTGCTTACAAGCCAGGTGAAAGCCAGAACTGAGGTTTGCATGCAAAATCTTTCCCAGACCCCTTCCCCCCGTTATCTATTTAGTGCCCAGTGGGATTCAAATAAATTGTTTAGCTAACAGTTCTGATTCTTGGGCTCAGTGATGTGCCATATTCCATTCCCATAGTTGTGGCCTGGCTGTCATCTGGTCAATGTTTCTGCCAGGCATTTGGTATAGTTTTGGTTTCTGGTTATTCTCTCCCCATGAGTTGGCTCTCCCCTCCCCCCTCCTTCTCTCTTCCCCCATCCCCACCCCGTGTTATGGCAGTCTGGCTTCAGAGAAGTGGAGATGAGGTAGAGCAGGATGACAGCAATGACATTTGGAGTTTTGGTTTTTTTTAAAAAAAAATACTCTCTTTTTTAAAAATCTTCAAGCAAAATTTTCTGAGTAAGTCACTATATATTAATTAATTACTCCTTATAATACACATCCTCTCTGTGTGCAGTAGTTACATATTGGGATAGAAATTGGAAAGATCTAGGTTGAAATCCAGCCTCGGTCATAGAAACTCATTGAACAACTTTCAGCCGGTCTGTCTATCTCAGCCCAACCCACCTGGGGGGGAAAATGGAGAAGGGATGTTACTTTGCAATTCTGGAGGAAAGGCAGTTTGACAAGCAAAATGAAGTAAACAATATTTTAAAAGTGCAAAGTTGTCATCCTGATTTTTCAGCAGCCAGTTTCCTCATTTGGACAGCACAAGCAATTGTGATTTTACAAGCTAGTATATTCGCCTTCTCACAGGAGAGCTACAAGAAAAAAAAAAAAAAAGGAGTAGGCAGCATTAAGCCTCATCTCCTGTGCTCATTCCAGCAAAGTATGTTGCCCTGGAACCATTATGTCTGAACTGGGCTGTACAAAGTAGAAAAATTGCTTCAAAAATCTACATTCTGTTGCATTTCAGTCTGTCTGTACTGGGTGCTTCCCCTCCAGCTACATTGTGTAGCAGGTGTAAAAGGCTGCATCTCATTTTCTAACTTTCTAAAAAGGTCCCATCACCTCTGAACTCTGTTCAGACTTTTGCCTAATCAGAAATAGAAATCTCACTTTGGCAATGTAGGTATAAATAACATGTTAGGGCCATTTCCATAATTGCCTGTTTTGTCCAGCAGATGTTGTCTCCCCACCTCTCCCCATCCTACTCGCCCACCTTCATCTCTGCTTTTTTCTTTCATCTCACATATTTGTACAAAAACCTTTCTGGGATGAGTAGTGCCTTTTTTAAAGATGACATTCAGCAAAATGTTAACTTTTATTCTATCTTTCTCCCCGAAGAAAAAGTATTGTTTTTGGAACTATTCAGCATTTGTGAATTATTTTGGAATTCATCATCATCATCTTAGCCATTGCCTATCCACTGTAGGATGAAGGTTTCTTCTGCATGTTTCCAACCAATATGGTCCTGAGCTTTTATTTGCCAATTGGCCCCGTAATACTTGCTGATATGTCATAAATCCATCTTGTTTTAGGTCTCTTTGGTGGATGTTTTTTATCAAGTAGATTTTGAAATTAATACACACATTTATTTTTGCATATAATATGTTGAAGTGCAAATATTTCTAGAATGACTCCAACTCCAGTAGAGAGAGAGGGACAAACTTAAAATACTGTTCTCTATTCTGGTACCTCTTGCTGAAAGGCAGAATAGTTGACTGTGTTTAAAGGCTAAGATTGAGCAAGGTGGCATTTTGTTCTGTAAGCCTTAGGTACCCTCTGATTTACATACATACCAGTGCTGACCTATGACAATAATAAACATTAACTAAACGAACTCAGTATATGCCTTGTTGTATTCTGTGGCAAGCACAGGCAGAAATATTTCTCATTATAAATCACCCAGGTATCTTTTTAAAGATTCCAACTCTTTCCACATCCAGATAAGTAGCTTAGTTATTCACCTATAGTCAACCACGGTCTTACAAGTAGACATGACCAATTCTGTGTCTGTTTGTCAGCCCATTGTTTAGCCAGCAAAATGCAGCATTAGTCTGTATATCCAGGATAGCTAATGCAGTGGGAATCGGGATCCATGAAATACTTTGAACAAGTGCCTGTTCAGAAAGAATAATTGCAATTATTTAAAAACTCCAGAAAGCAACAATAAATCAAGGAGAGAAGCAACCTAGAACTAAGGAGAAACTTCCTGACAGTTAGAACAATTAACCAGTGGAACAACCTGCCTCCAGAAGCGGTGAATGCTCCAACACTGGAAGTTTTTAAGAAGAGACTGGACAGCCATTTGAGTTTCCTGGCTGAGCAGGGGGTTGGACTTGATGACCTCCAAGGGCCCCTCCAACTTTATTATTATTATTATTATTATTATTATTATTATTATTATTACCATCATCATCATCATCAATTGACTGCACTCTTAGGGTGTTCAAGCCAGGATTTAACTCATTTTTTTTAGTGAAATCAGTCTTGTGTACCATAGATCATAGAATCATAGGGCTGGAAGGGAGGAAGCTTGAAGGTCTTCTAGTCCAATGTTCTGCTCAAGGCAGCAGACTTTATACCATCCTGGTCAAATGGTTGTCCAGTCTATTTTTCAAAACCTCCAGTGATGGAGCTACCCCAACTCCGGGAGTCAAGCTATTCCATGTGAGATTTCTAGCTAAATGCAGCCAGCCCACTTTGCAGGGTAGCAACCAATGATATAAGAAACTTTATGTTTCTTATTAGAGAATTGATAGAGTACTGAGCACCAGGCAGAATACAAAACATGGTGGGTGACCTGTCTCTGGTGAAGTATTAACAAGTAGTTGTCATGGCCATCATCAACATCATTGTTAATATTTCTTTCTGGCACTTCCATGCCATTTTCTGAATAAAAATATAATCAAGGCAATTGAAAGGAGAAATAGTGACCAGCAGCAAAAGAATAATATATAAAATATTCTGCGTCAGTGCTCTAGAAGCGTTCTGAAAAACAGCTGTAGGAGTAAATCCTTAAATTCCTTCTGCAGACCTATTCTGCTCCCTGAATATCCTGTTCTTTCACAGCATGTTTAAATAGAAAGGAAAGGTCTCTATGGCAACCCTTTTTAATCTGAGATTAAAAAGCACCTTTGAACAGAAAACACACACTCAGGAAACTAAGCACCTGACTCTCCCCCTTTTCATAGGCTTTTTTTTAAAATCAAAAGTAGTGCTTTGTATTAAAAAAGAAGAAGAAAAGGGGTTAGATGAAAGGTAGATAAATCTGTCTGGAAAAACGCATTAAAAATAGCAAAGAAAACATTTTGTGTGATTTGATGTCATCTGTAGCATGAAAAGGCTTAGATTTACTGCCCAGAGAAGACTAAAAACATATGTTTATGCCTTCACAAGGGATGAAGATGGAAATGGAATATTCTGCTTTTTATGCAGAACAAGAACCCAGTAATGCATTTCTTTTTGTACAGATAATAAATGGCATTCAAGAATTTGTCCCAAAATCTTTTCGTCAAACTTAATTCTTACTTATATTTCATACTTATCTTTTCAATAATGGAGGTTTTTCTTCTGACATGTGAACTTCTCTTCCATATTCAGTCCTTTGATCTTAATATGTAACTCCCCTGTATAGATCCCCTCTCCATTCTGTTTGGCCTCCTGACTTTCACAAATAACCATCCATTTCTCTGAAGCTCCTAACTCTTACCCATTCTTCCCTGATTTCCAGGCCATGCTATGTTCGCATGTCCATTATCTATTTTTCCTTTTGAATTCCTAGATGTTGCCTCTTTTTCTCTATCTTTTCCACTACCAAAAAAGGCAGAAGTGTCCTCTTGACTTCTTGCTTCCCCCCCCCCCATTTCTTGTTGGCAATTGGATAATACCCAGAATCATCATTCTGAATTTTTTATTTAATTGCTATCTTAGGAAATAATGGGGCTATTACATTCCAATTTTGTATTTTTCTTGCTAAAGGAACATGAAGAAGCAGGTGTCATTCCAGCTCACACTAGTGCCTATGAGCCAATTTCAAGATGTGGTGACTTAGATGTCATTTTTGATTACAAACTATCAAGCCAGAAATTGGTTGTGACTATTGTTGAAGCTAAAGATATCCCAGACAAGGACCGCAGTGGAGCAAGTACCTGGCAGGTACACACCGTCCTGATGCCCAGCAAGAAACAGCGAGGAAAGACAAGTGTCCAGAAAGGCCCCAACCCAATGTTCAAGGACAAGGTGACCTTCACTAAGTTGGCACCTGAAATGCTGAGCAGCTTTGCCCTCCGGTTCCGCCTCTATTCTGTGCGCAAAATGATGAAGGAGAGAATGATGGGTGAGCAGCTGTTTTATCTTAGCCACCTCAACCAAGAGGGGGAAATGAAGACCACACTGGTTCTGGAACCCAGGAGCAACTTATGTGTAAGTACAATTAAACTGGGGGCAAATTACTGAAGTCCTTATCGCATTTCCTTTCTCTGGAGAGTTTACAGCCATGCTGAGCATAAACTGCATGATCAAGATTGATCTATAAAATAATTTTCAATAATTGGAATCAGAAATGCTATAAATAGCATGAGGGTAACAAATCTAGTGCCCCCCTCAAATGTTTTAGACTTCCATTCAAACATTTGAAATCCAAAAATCTGCATTAGTAAAATGCATGCTTGGTATGGAACCATGGGTGCATGCAAAGGCTTCATAGAAAAAGTGGGTATTGAGGAAAAGCTTGAACAAAGCAGGAATGAAGTCATGGTTTAGATATTTAGAGGCAGTTATGCATGAAGGCAGAAAGAAAAAAAGCAGGATTTTCTAAGTGGAAATATCAAGCTAATACCAGAGATATATAAAGGCAAAGAAGGAAAATGGGGAAAGGAGAAGAAATATTTTGGAATAGTGACAAAGGACTTATACTGCAGCTGGGTGTGGTCAAGAAGCCAACTGAAGATTTTCAGGAAGGGCAAAACATAGAAAGAGAATGAAAAAAGTGATGGATCCTTGGTGCTCTTTGAGCTTGGTTGTTTTCTTGCAGATGTTTCATTACCCAAACTATCACTGAGGATGCTACCTAGTTTGGATAATGAAACATCTGCAAGAAAACAACCAAGTTCAGAGAGCACGAGCGATCCCTCATTTCAACCCTGAGCTACAAATATTCTCCTTTATTAGTAATGAAAAAAGTGAATAATTATTAATAATCTAGGGAACTTCTTTCTCTGGAGGCATATTATGAATGTTGAGAACATGTTGAGTACTCACAAGATGGCTATGGGGAACTACATGGTTGCTATGGCAAATTGAACCAGCTACAAAGTACTGATTCACCATAATGTTATCTGCCTGGCCTTTTTAGTTTAAAAAGTGAAAGAACAGATAAGATGTAAGAAATAGGTTTCTATTGGACTGCTTTACACATTATGCTAAGCCACCATGTAGTTTGCTTGCTTGTGGTCTGGCATGCTGTATGAATCCACCTATTGCAATCTATAAAATATGCATTACATTGTAATAAGATAATGGGTGCCTCTCACCAACTAAATGAACAAGTAATGTCAACCTGGTAGAAGGCATCTGTGCATGGAGGTATTTAACTGTGAAAGCTTATGCTGCCCATTTTTCTCTAATCTTAATTTTATGCAAGACATACACATCACAGTTGCAATAGAATAATCTGGTTAGGTTTCTATATTCTGAATTTTACCTGCCTGTTTTAGTGGAGAACTCTATATAATACTGAAGAATTTTAATTTCTAATTAATACTTTTTGTTGTTGTTGGCTTTTTTTTCATCTCTCCTCATCCAAAGAGTGGAGACTCCCAACTGAGTCTCTCGGCCATCTCTCACAGTGACAGTGCTTCTTCAACCCAGTCTCTGTCACATGGAGGAGTTCCAGAATTGCTGGTAGGACTATCCTACAATGCTACAACAGGCAGATTGTCAGTTGAGATGATCAAAGGCAGCCACTTCCGGAACCTTGCCATTAACAGACCACCAGGTACATAAAAATATGACCTCCTGCTCTCATGGGTGTAGAACTTGGATTATTCATTGCCTTGTTTCTTTGATATGTAAAGGCACCAACCTACAAACACTGGACATGTTGAAAGAAAGGCCTTACCTTGGGGTATACATGTCCCATTTATGAATCCAAACAGGTTGGGGGGGGGAGGAAGTATCTGAAAAATCTGAAATGTTTAATTAGAAATAGTAGAAATATGTCTGTTTGTGGAAAGCAGATCCTTTCTTTTCCTGGACTCTAGCTTGAAATATTTAGGATCATGTTTGTTCTGTTCCTCAAGATCAGTTTAGGCTCAGGAAGGAAGGACGGACACAACTTCTCTATTGTAAGCACAAGAGCTTTGGTTTTCTAGGACTTAGTTATATATATCTTCCAAATCACAAAGAAGCTCTTCTGCCATTTGGGCTTCTCTTTTGGCATTTCAGTACAGAATTTTTGAGGAATGTGATTTCACTCTGTAGTTTCCAGTTTGGTCATTCAAAGCTGCCTATGCTTCAGTTGAGTCAGGCTGGGTGCTTAGGGTATTTTTTAACATATCTGAGTAATGAGTTGCCTTAGCAACTATAAAGCTAGACCAGAATTGGTTGTTACATTAGACTAGGTAGGAATTTCCTGACTCCTCAATTTATCTGACCTCTTGGGCTAAAAGCTCCAGGACAGTGTTTTTCAACTTCCTCTGGCTGGCAGTTCTGGGAGTTGAGGTCCACACATTTGAATTTGCTGAAGTTGAGAAACACTGGCCCAGCACATCAGAAATCAGGTTATGGACTAGATTGGCCTTGGACTAAAAGCTGCTTTGGAGAAGGTCAGCTGAAGGATGGAGAAGTTGGCATGGTTTATCTATTGGCTCATTAGTTTTTCAAGAATTTTGAAAGAACGTTTGATTTCTTTGAAATCTTTGTTCAGCTTGCCAGGTACCTTTAAGCACAATCTGTTACATTGGATCCAGATTATTTTTCTTCTCTTTCCCAGTTGTCTCTTCTGAATCGTTGTTTTTTTTTAAAAAAATTGATTAAACCAAGAGAAAGAGAAGACCAAGAACTTATCTCTACGAGGATTTTAAACATTTATTTTCCTCCCCCCCCATTTTGCTTTAATTACTCAATTTCTTCTCTTCTACTTTTCCTAAGGAATACACACAAATGCAGGAGCAAGTTTCTTGTCCTTAATATAATTTCAGTTTCCCCACTATTTAATGTTTGTCTCAGCTTGTATTTTTAATTATTTTGTTTCCTCTCAAAAGAATGTGCAATAATGTACAGTATAGGATTGGAATGAGATGATTTCCTGCATTGTTAATTAATGCTTATGTAAAGGTACTGTGAAAACTCTTTATTTTAAAAACATAGATTTAACTGTGAAAAAATAAATAGACAACAAAAAGGTGCATGCCTAACATTGCAAAAAGAAACTGATTAAGGCAAAAAAATAAATTTCTGCCAAGAGAGGGGAACAAAACCAAGCCCCAGGCTTCACAACTCTTCAAAAAGAAAAAAAAAAACAGATTTCATATGATAATTAGAGCCTTGCTTGCCTGTGGTGATATCCCCAGCTTATTATCTTTACTACACAAATATAATAACAATAATATACAAAAAAGCACATTTGTGCAGTGAAAATCACAAATCCTGATTTGGGCTAAGGATGGGACTTCCTCTGAAAGAAACTGAATATAATTGAGATGTAACCTTTGACTGCAGAAGCTATTATCAAACACGTTTCACCTGGCAAAATTATCACAAGGTTGGAAGCATAGGAAGATTCAGTGAAACTTCCATTGCAGCAAGTACTGTAGCTTGTCACAGTAAAGCCATTGTGTTCTGGAATGTGAACAACAGAAAGATAAGCTAGTTTGAATCATATGAGATTGATTTGCTGCCTTCCATATTGAGTTCATTCATTTTTCTTATAATGGCAGTAGTCCACATTTTTAGAAGTCGGAATAAAGCCTGCCTGCCACAAGTAAATTTTTGGATTAGATGATGGCCTTTTCTTGAATATGTTGTAGTACTGCCATGGAATGGAGCCTATCTTAATCCAGCTTTGTATTTAGCTATTTGTCTGGGTGCCATAAGCTAGAAGGAATTCAAAATTGGCAAGTACACTATGCTGATTGAGAAGGATGTTCCCTTAGTTGGTTCAGAGGAAAGCAATTTCTTCTTACAAATTTGCTAGACCAGTGGCCTAAATTTCCACGGTTGTCACAGGAAAGGCAGCCCAAATGGAAATACCAGAATAAATATTGTTGCAGGATTTAACAAAGTTAACTTAACTTAAATGTAACTTAACCTGTTACATTCCCACATGCTGTCAAGGGTGAATCCTAAGCTTCAGGGTCTGGTCTACATTATCAGTCCTGATACACTTACTAGGATTCATCTTATAGTAAGAAGATTTGCTGGAAATTTGTTGCCCACCACTTGATGTATTCTAGATATGTCCAGTTAGATAAATACAAAGAGTATATATTTCAGAATGAATAATGTTGCAGTGGGCAGATAGCTTTATTTTGTTTTCAGGCAAGGTTTCCTGGTGGGGCATGGAAAATAAGGACCAACGCCTTATCCCAAGTACTGAGATAGTCATATAGATTTAACAACACTTACTGGCCTAGCCCTGCAAAACAAATTCAGTTTCCTGAGTGCATCATATAAAGCTGTTTTATTTCCTCTGTTTAGCTTCTGTTCTGTTTGCTTTCTGCTGGAGCATGTGATGTTCTGAGGAGCTGACTAAGTCAGCTGTATGAGGGACAAAGTTCTTGTGTTTGCTAGGCAAGCAGTGGGTGTTCTACTGAGCCCCAGCTGAAGATTTCTGCTTCATTCCCAGTGAGGAAGATCAACCTCCATCATGGTACCCTTTCATGTTCATCATGGCAAGTCCCATCAAGTTCCATCATGGCAAGCCTATTTCTTTAACTGGAATTTCTAGCCAGGGAGAATCTGTTTTTTAATTTCCTGAATGGATAAATTATTCCCACACAGAATAGATTCTATAGAGTTGTCCCAAAGGTGCTTTTTCTTGTTTTTCTTTTCTTTGAAAATGTTTCACTTCTCATTCAAGAAGCTTCTTCAATTCTAAATGACTGGATGGGAATTCTATTGAATTGAGCAATACATTCCTTTTGGTTAAATTGCCTACTGGAAAAACTTTTTTAGATTAGGCTCACCTTCTTTGGCTCACTGAGACTAACTCTTTTTTGTCTTATAATGCTTCTGGAAGTTTCTCCATGAGAAACTCACCTGGTACTGCTATTTAGGGGCCAGTGAAACTGGTGTGTATTTGTTTTAATTATGTTGCATATCAACTTTTCTCCTGGAGCTTAAAGTGAAAGCACTCCCTTTGCCAGTTTTCCCCATAATAACAAACCTGTAAAATGAGAGTTGTGCTGAGAGAGGAGAATAAGTGATATGCATGAGCTTCCATGGCTGATGGTGGACTAGAACCTGTTTTTTTTTTTTTTTTAGTCTTTAACCAATATACCATATTGGCTTTTACCCCGCACAAAATTTCTCTGCTATAATTTGTACCTGTATTTCTACATGTACAAATTATTTATTACCAGCAATTTTTTTTGCCATTCTTCAGGCGAAGACTCCAGAAAATGGTTCACATGTGCCAAGCATGATTAAAAGTAATATTTTGCCTCTTTTGTAGGATATGTGTATGTGTTTGCCTAGGGCAGAAGTAGGCAACCTTGGCTCTTTTATGACTCGTAGACTTCAACTCCCAGAATTCCTGAGCCAGCCTGAAAAAAGAGCCAAGGTTGCCTATTCAGTTCTGAAAGTTGAAAGGTAGCATACATATTTTTAAAATTTGAGCAGAGGATAGATCAAATAATCACATGGCTTCATTTGGAGAGAAGAAGATCGTCATTCCCCAACACACATGTTTGTGATTTGAAAGATTAAGTGATTGAGGAATAGAAATTCTTTTAGTAGTTTTCCTAACCAACCAAGCACAACAAAGAATACTACCATTTTGGGGTGATTGATTGCTGAATTTTGCTGGTGCTATGAGGGATTGCCCAAAGAGGCTCGTGACCATGCATATCTAACAGACTACAAGTGTTTGACCTAGCTTCAGCATTTAGGGCATCTTGTCTGGGAATTTACTATATAAACATAAATTGTAATTCTGAACATATATTAAATTCTTTTTTTCCCTAAATGGCTTCATTTCTTTCTCACGTAATATATACACATGGTCCTTGTTCTGTATGGCATAAATGCACAGAATAAGTAATGAGAGAGGATGGAACTCTTTGAAGAGAAGCAGGATGTCCTTGATTTTAAAGTGTGCCTGTCTGTTCATACCTAAAACGAAATTTCATGCCTCATCTTCAGCATAGTGCAATACTAAAAAAAAATTCCATAAAGAAAAAGAGCCATATGGTGTAATAAAAAGCCTACAGGCTGCATTTTATAGAGGACATTCTGGGATAAGCTTGTAAGTACATTGCTGCATATTCCTAAACATTAATGTTTGATTTATTTGGTTTTTGTATTACGCCATGATTTCAATTAGCTAAAGCGATATGTTTTAGGCAAACTGGTGGCTTCTCTGTGTGATATATTAGATATAAGAGAAACAAGCAGACATATTTTTCTTTAAATAAACATCAGGGTGCTTTGGGCCAGTCACTCTCTATTAGCCCAACCCACCTCACAGGGTTGCTGGGGTGAAAATAAAAGGAGGAAGATGGGGACTGCCGCCTTGAGTTATTTGTGAAAATAATAAAGATGGGATAGAAATAAATAAACTTTTACTGCTTTAATGTTGCCTGCAGATACTTATGGGAAACTCTGCCTTCTGAACTCTGTTGGTCAAGAAATGTCTCGTTGCAAGACATCTGTTCGACGAGGGCAGCCAAATCCTATCTACAAAGAGACATTTATCTTCCAAGTTGCCTTGTTCCAGCTCTCAGATGTTACCCTAATGATCTCCATTTACAATCGCCGCAGTATAAAGCGCAAAGAGATGATTGGCTGGATTTCTATGGGTCAGAACAGTAGTGGAGAAGAGGAGTTAAGTCATTGGCAGGAGATGAAGGAATCTAAAACACAGCAAGTGTGCAGATGGCATATGCTCCTGGAGTCTTAGTGGAAACCTCAACAGTTCCAATAGGTGCAGGGCATTCGTCTTCCCAGCATTTGACATATAAAGGACTATTGGTTTCTATTATAACTGGACTTCTGATGCTCTTTACTAATGGAATTATTCTGTTAGGTTATTGTCCTTTTATTTTTAGTTATAGGAAATTGCTTGAAGTGACAGGTAGGCAAATTGGGTCAGAACTTTATGCTCTCCCTTCACCCACCAAGAATTGAGTGTTAAATATCAGCCCAGCATCTTCACTGATAATGAGATTTGCTCTTGGTCATGTCTCTGTACAGCCATATTTGCTTGAGTGAGGTATGTGCCTTTGTTGTGAGGAAAGGCTGCAGAAATGATCATGAAGCAGTGATCGTGAAAATGGTATACACTGGTATCTCGGTACTCATCGTTAATTGGTTCTGGGAGGCACAATGAGTACAAAAAATGATGACCACCAAACAAATTCTTCCCATAAGGAATAATGTAAATACTGTAAATGTAATGCATTCCCAAACCAAAAACAAGGCACATTTTAAAGGCAATATGTAAAAAGACAGAGTTGTATATCATTACTTTATATGAGAAATAAACCTAACAATTAATAAACACTTAAATAAAATAAAAACTTCACTTTACCTGTACTGATGAGGAAAAAAAGCTCGAAAATACACAAAATGACCACAAAAGCTAAGACAAGACTGCAAGGGGATGTGCACAGGCCAAGAGCTTCTGCTTGACTAAATGCATCACCCTTTGTTTCACCTGGAAAGGGTAGCAAGTTGTGAGGCAAATGACACCGACAAGTTCTAGCTTGTGTGTTGAGTACAAACAAATCATGAGTACTGGAACAAAATTTTCGTGTCAAAATGCACTGAGTAGCAAATTGGATGAGTTTCAAAGCTGTTGAGTACCAAGACACCACTGTATTAGGACAGTTTTGTGAAAAGGTTTCAGGCCTAATCCACTTCACATAAGTGTATTTGCCTCAGCCCTAATTCTCTGACTGCAATAAATAAGATGGATTTTGATTCCTGACAAATAGTCACTTAAATTTTTCTCTTTATAAATATAGACTTCCCAAAGGCTTAGTTTGAACCATGTGCACATATATCCAGAAAATATCAGATATGTGTATATTATCATTAATGCAACTTAATCATAAAATGACATTGAACTTGGAGTGTTCAGTGTCCTGCATTTACTGTATTTTTTTTCCAAGCTAGCTATATTTCAGCCTGGCTTCTGTGGCTTCCAACTCTCCATGACAGCAACGAAATAACATGTAGATGTGGGTTCCATCTATTCCTTTTAATATATAATGTTGTTTTCTCTGAGGAGCAACCAAACACTTGTCCTTTATATTAGGTTCTTAGGCAGGCATGCATTATTACTCTTATCACAATGGAAGCCGTGGATCCCCTTAGCAGGTCTAGTTCTATGAGTGCTAAAAAAGAAATTTAAGAGACTGGATGCCTGCAGTATTGACAGCAGCTTTCTTGAATCTGGTGCCATCTGAATGTGCAGAACTTTAATTATGATCTTAACTAGGAAGAAATCTGATCGGGAAAGGTTGGTTTTAGGAAAGTATAGAGGTTCAGAGATTCTTTGGAAAGATGATAAGACAGTGGTAAAAAAGACACCTTCCTTTGTTATGCTGAATTCCAGAGGAGACTCTGAAATGTGCTCATGTACCTTTTGACCAGTGATCTCTCCTGATAGTTGACTTCTCTGAAAGGCTACATAGGAACCGCTACACATGCAAAAAAAAAAAAAAAGTTTTGAGAAACACATTGTTTTAAATAACTTGTAAATAAACTTCAAAACTATCTTAGAAATGGGCCAGAGAGTAATATGGTGCTGGTAATGGGGACTTCCTTATTTAAAACCTGACCACCACGGGAGACAAAACCTGTTACCGAACACTAATTTACTATAATGCTTCCTGTCCTTCTAGTCATCCCATCCTGCCAGACACCATTTAGGGTCCTGCTTATTTTATCTTTGTCATTTGGGGATCCACTTGGCACATTTTGTGCTGCAAGGATTTTGCAGCTGCTTATTGTTTCTATGTTATAAGGAAGTTTAAAGGGCCCATTTAAATCTAAAAGGCATTCTAGAAAATAAAAATTATGGTTGGAGGCTGCTGCTTGGTTTGATAGTATATCTTGTCGTATTTTCCTGAAACTTTATTTTAATATATTTTATATTGTTCCCATGTTTTAAATAGTTGTTCTTAAAATGTAAAAAATGAAATGGGACAGGGAGCCTGTGAGATACCAAGGAAAGTGAAGTATCTGCGTGTACTTCACCTTTAGGCACCATGTCGGGAACACCAAATTTAGGCTGTTGACTATATATAAAGCCTTTTTGTCCAAGCTCCAAGCTCTTTTCTAAAGTGCTGGAGATCTAATTCAGGATCTTGGAAAAAATATACAGTATACTGCAGCTAACTGATGACCTTTCCATAGGAATGTTCCTTTTAAGTTTTTATGCAAACATTTGTCATTAGCTGATTTCTCTAACAAGAACAAAAATTAAAACAGGTTGATTGGAAAACTGCATATCCATGTATGAGAATAGAAGAATCCCTTTCAAAAAGTAATTATACTGTGGATTATACTTCTATTGCCTAAAATTTTAGAATGCTTCTTTGCTTCAGAATTACTTTTCCTTATATGAAAATGTGCAGATGTTATTGGCTGAAACTCAAAAAAAATCAATTACTTCTGAGAGAAGAGAGATCAAGATTTCTTGATAATGCAGATGAGATCAAGAATCTAGTACTACATGCTGCTCATCTATTTTTCTTTTTAAAAATTTGTTTCTCCAATAGAAAAAAATAGCTTGCTACCACAGGGTTCAAAGATGACATCTCACCAATATGTCTCTTTTTTCAAGTTGCATGCCAAAAATTTATAGGTTGCATTTTTTTTCTTCCAGAAATCACCAAGGGTCTGTCTGTGAGTAATCTGTGATGCACTCTGTTAAATAGGAAATAATGTATTCCAAAGCAACAGCAAGAAATTCCTTTTTTAACAATAGCAGATATAGCATGTTAAGGCAGCCTTTCTTTTCCTGCATTGTTCAAAAGGTTGCATGAGAAGGTTCCTATTTGGCATCCATCTCACGAAAACAGCTTGTGCAATCCATCTCTGAGGACCTCCTGTTTTAATTGCCTGCCAGATTCACCAGGGAGAGTGCCAAAGCCAGGGTGGATGCAACAAATAATGAAGGGGGCTTCTGTTGGAACACATTATGAAGCCTTGCTAATTTGTAATGCCAAAAGCCCATCTTTTCATTCAGTGATGGATTTGTGTAAAAGCAGACAGGTCTGCAATAAGATTCTTCAAAAACATCTCTCCATAATTTTGCCATGCACGTGGATCTATAATTATTGAGGCCATACATGATGGCTATGTATCACACTAATTGAATTCAGCTACAGTGAGTTGCAGAAAGCCAGACAACTGAGATTTATAAACCATCATTTATGGCTTTAGGGTGAACTGAGCCAATTATGACCTAAGAAACCACGGACAAACACAGTGTTTGAATATGTAGCCAGTGAAATGACTTGAGTCTGGAGGTGCCTAGGAAGTAACTTGGCCCAGGAACAGAAATTACTTTAAATTTTGTGCTAGGAAGAAACTGGGACATAATAGTGGCACTTGTAAATCTTTTTTTTTTTTAATTAGGAAGACATCTGTTGAGGGTTCAAAATGAGCAAGAGGATGATTGTGGCATTGGGGTGGAAGCCCCATCCTGTTTATATTTGCATTGACATTAGCAGATACCTACAAAACAGGTATGATTTGCATTAAGACATCTGACTTACCATCGTGCTCTTTTTAACCCACAGAAAGATGCTGCTGAATGCAGAAGAAAATAAATAGCAAGAAGTAGGGCAGAGATGGAAAATTTTGAAGAAATCGCCAGACAGTTGAGTTACCTAAAAGCACAGGGGAAAAGTACACATTTAAACTGCATGGAACCACCTGACTGGCTACTCTCAGAAAACTAAGCAGATTGATTCCAGCTACTGCTTGTTTGACAGAACACTCCAGGAAATTTCTGGGCTGCAGGTCAAACTAGAAATTTTAAAAAAAAATCTAGGAAAAAGGGGTTGGCAAACTGATTTTTTTTTTTTTACCAAAAGTGCTGATTCCTCCCACAAAGTCTCAATTTAAGCACTACATTATTTTAAAAATAATGTTTATGCTTCCACTGTTGGATAAGCTCTCAAGATTTAAAGGTTTTGCAAATGAGTTTTGAGCAAAAAAAAAAAAAAAAATCCCACAAAAAGGCAGGCAGAGACAGCACACCATGGAGGTCTTAGATTTCCAGAATTGCAAACTATATTAAACATAGTTCATTGAGCTTAATTCTGAGACTTGCATACCAGTTACAGTGAAGAGCAGAAAAATAGTTAATGTCTTCTCAGAGAACCAGCATGCCATCTTGCCATGGTATTCTTACTCTAGAGAAAGATTTGCCAGACAATTATATATCAGCCCTCCTTATTTTGTGTGGTTTAAACGTTGATTCCCAGATTAAGATCTTATAATCTAAGAGACCCTGTTCTGCAAGAATTTTTTAACACAGAAAACATGGCCACATCAAAACCAGATAACAAGCTCATCTTTGTTCCTAAATTCTGCAGTTCCTTATAAACCCTTTTGCTGCTGCTTAGAGCAGCAGTTCTTTACATACAGACTTAGGAGTAAGCCCCATTTTTTCAACTCCTTACAATCTGCTCCGGAGAACACCTGCATAAGATTTGCTGTACATCTACTTCTGCCATTGGGGACGGTCCAAATAGAGGCATTCTTTAGGTATCATAATTCATGTCTGTGCCAAAAAGGCTTTAGATTTCATACTCTTTCAAGAGCAAATATATAGAATATTTTGAAAATAGATCTCCCCAAATACTGAGTATTCTTTCTATATGTAGACTATGAAGGATACAATAGTGTATTGAAAGTTGACATATATTAAATAAATATTGGATCCCATGCAAGTCTACATTGTCTACCATGCAAGGTGCTCCCTCAGGTAGAGTGAGAGTAAGGGGATGTTGAATACTTGCAAAGCCTTCATGTTTTTGTTGATTCCTGTGCAGAGTGGTCTAAGTAGATCATATATATAGATTCAACCTCTTCTCATTCAAGTTTTTTTAAAAGATTTGCTAAAGCACAGTACAGCTGAGCAGTGGATTGGTAAGACTAGAAGCCTCAGTTATTAAAAGATCATTTCTTTAGGATTAAAAAAAAGCACAGTTTATAGGCAATATTTACATTTTAAAAAAACAAAACAAAATGTACTTGTGTTCTGACATATACAAATATCCTTGATTAAATGTTATATTACTTTTTATTGATGAAAACTAAATGTACATTTGATGTTTTTTCAATTTTTTTGATTTGTGAAAGATGTATCTAAATGTGCAATATTAATCTTAAAACATTTCTGTTAATTGTCTGGTGGAAATGTCACTTTTTATGTGTTATACCATTCACAAACCTTCATAAAACACGGTGAAGTTCAGAATTGCAAGATGTTTTAGCCCTCTGAATGTGGAGATGGTGATCTGTTCAGCGAGACTGTCAGACCAATATTTGTTCAATGGGAGGAGAGCCTTGACTTCGGTCTGTTTACTCATGTACACGTTGAACTAGACCAGGGGTAGGGAACCTTGGCTCTTTTATGACTTGTGGACTTCAACTCTCAGAATTCCTGAGTCAGCATGGCTGGTTCAGGAATTCTGGGTATTGAAGTCCACAAGTCATAAAAGAGCCAAGGTTCTCTACCCCTGAACTAGACAATGTAGAAAAGAACAGAAACAAGCTCGCAGTCAAGCAATACTGACTCTGAACTGGTATCTGCAGCTTAAAATTTTATTCCAGTGGATAGAAAAACTCTGCTGGATAATAATGGGTGATGAGTGACAAGACCACAAGAAGCCTTATCGGTATGTAGGTATTTATAGGACTTGTATGGCTGCCTGTATCATATAATGACTCTAGGAAGCTCACAGTATACTTCTGCATATCTTAATCATATTAATTTATATGCTGCCCAACTCCCAGCAATTCTGGCTACATTACAATTGTTAAAAACCTTTAAAAATAAAGAACAACACAAAGAGCACAAAAGTAGCACAAGACACAGGGACAACAATATCAAAGAAACTTGAATGGGAATAAAAAGAGAGGAAAGGAGTGTTGATTGTCCTTGCCAAAGTGAAGAGTCAGGTCTTTAGAGTGCTTTGAAATGGGGGGTGGTGTTTAAGCCTTGAGGGGGGACACCTCATTTTAGAAGGCAGATTCTGCTACAGAAATGATAACTCTTCTGTAGTCTTAATAGATGACATTGCTTAATTGAAAGAACACAGAATGCAAATAGTTTTTAATTTTGTAATCAAAGTCCTTAACAAAAAGTTACATTAGAAAAAAAAACTGGTTTTCATCTAATGGAAATTGTTAGGTAAAAAGAAGAGAATTTTTCTATTCAACACTAACCAAATTACAAATATGGCCTTCATTAGCTATGCTTAAGTAAAAAACAATGGTGTCCCCAAGAGGAATGGCAAAATGTGCACATTTGTGGGTGTATAAGATTTATGCAGTATGTCACCCATGTATTTAAGGGGTGTGACACTGCACCTGTCATGTTGCAGATTGTGTATTTCTCTTTCTCTGGATGTATGCTGCATAAAGAAAAAAAAAGCTGGGTTAGGCACCTGTTTGCTGTGCTGCAAAGATGATGGTGGCATCTCACAAATAAGGTTCCTGCAAATGCACAGATGATTAAGCAAGGAGAGAATGATAGAGTCATCATAGGTGACTTCACAGTTAATTGGACTTGATCAATCTGTTTTTCATATTACAAAGCCATAAACAATCCTTGTGTTATTCCCTTTCTGTAAGACTTTCATTATGCTGGGGCACTTGACCATGATCCTTCCTGTCCCTAGTTTGTGCATTTGCAACAAAATGGGATAATAAACAACAGTCCTGGTTCTGATGCATGGGATTGCAATACAATATTCTGCAAGTAAGAAATTTCTCTTTATTAATTTCTTCTGTTTAATTTATAGCTTTATGCATTTTGCATCATGTTTCAACTTTTAATATTAGAATAAGAATAGGAAGAGACGAAGAGGGATAGGAATATATGTGTCTGTACAGATGAGCCAAAATTGTGTAATTTGACCAATGGACTCTCAAAAACAAATGTTTCTTATTAACTGCTGCTTGGTATCATAGGCTGACTTTGGGGTGTCTAGCATGTTAAGCAGGTGATGTTCAGCAATTTTAATACACATTTGTAAAATACAAATAAAAATATATTTAACTCTTTTACTTTTACATAATAAGATTGGTGGGATGGCCAATAACATATTGAGAGTTGATCCATGTAATACATAACTAATGACCAGCATTTATGGTCAAAAATATAACAATGACATTTTAGTTAAATCGTTTTTAGGTAGGCAGGCATCAATTCTATGACTTATATGTTGTTCCAAATATCAATTTAAAGAGAGATTTCTCAAAAGCTGTTAGAAAAATGGTATTCAGATGCTAATTACAATACCAAAGCAATATGTTTTGAGGTGTTTAGGACAAGCAATAAGAATAAAACAGGCTTCCTTTTTTTCTTTTTCAAGGTGTGGAAATTTTTTTTTATTTTTATTTATTCATTACATTTGTTTGCCTATCCCGCCTTCGGGTGACTCTGACTAAATCGACCTCTAGTTTGATCTCCCAGGTGATTCATAACTGCTTAATAACATTCAAATACAAACTACAAAAGAATTGGAGAAAGCAAATGTTTATTTTTTATTTATCAAATTTATATTAATTTAAATTCATGTCCTCAGTGTTCCTTGCTTAAAGGGGAAGCGAGATTCCTAAGAATCAGCAGGAATGGAGTTGACAATGTAATAGGGGAGTGACTATGTTAAAATTACAAAGAATATGAGGCAGTTCAAGGAAATGAGAGAAGAGGACACAAGGTCCATTAACTTTTTAAAGACAGCTGTAGACCACAAGCTCAATAGACCAAAAATATACCCTCCTCAATTTTAACAGGGAAAGGAAAAGAAGGGGGCTCTTCCCCATTGACTTTGCTTGTCAGAAGGTGGCAGAAGATGAGCCCAACCACCCCTGGATGCTGCAACTGTCATAAATAATGAGTCAGTTGCCAAGCATCTGAATTTTGAATATGTGACAGTGGGGATGCTACAGAGGTCATAAGCGTGGAAAATGGTCATAAGTCACTTTTTTCAATGTAGTTGTAACTTCGGACAGTCAGTAAATGAACTGTGTAAGTAGAGAACTACCTATACTGCAGATGAGCTGGAACTTAGTTGGCTTAGCTGCAGAAGGACATGACTCTGTGAAGACGTGGACAAAGAGCTTCTCCTGGATTGACACAAATACATATATGGAGAAGCTAACAGACTTGCCAGGCCAAGACATATTTAAATTAGGTGGCTTCCTTATTATATATGGCTGTTCTAGTTTATATGAATCTCTGGTTTGATGTACTCTGCTTTTTGTATGTGCAAATAGAGAGATAGAACATAAAAATAAATAGAAATCAAGTCAATTCAGTAGTCAGATAAGCCTGTGAGAATGATACTAGTTTTCACAGTGAATATCATCTCCCATCCTGAAGCCACACTATTTTAATATGCATCAGATAGAATTGAAGATGAAATTTGCTTGATTCCTCAAGAAGTTTCAATCTCTCTGTTTATGTTTCTTTTCATCCGTGTCATTACCAGTATTTTCCCTGTTCCCAATGTTTCACTTCACCCAATTGACTATTGATGAGGGCTTTTTTGGGGTGAGGATGTGCATGTGATTATTCAACAGCTGCTTCCTTCCACCTGCCCCTCATGGAAATTGTACAATTCTTTTGAAACTGGTAATGGCTGCTACTTATAAAATCAAGCCTTGCAATCATCCTTCAGTCCCGATGTAAAGGAAACTGCAGATTTATACAAATTTTGTTCTTGGCCATCATGCTTTGGGGGAATGTAGATTTTTTTTAAAAAATCCATTCAGTGTGGCAGACAACCTTCAAAGATCTTCTTCTATGCCTCCCACCCCTGTGACTTTGTTACTACTCCATCTGGCTGGTATTCTGTGCACATATCCATGACAGTATTGATCTGTTGTGCAGGCATAGATTTCAGGCTTTCAAAGCTGTGAAAGACTCTGAGCTCTTAGGAGGAAGAGAGAAAGGGGCTGTTATTGATTCCATTGGATGGAAGGTCATAAGAAGAGATGCAGAAATAATTGCAGGGAGGTATCAGGCATGTCTGTGTTTTGAAGTTATTGGTCCTACATTTTCTTGGTATTTGACCTGAATGTTTGAGGCCAAAAGAAGGATTGGACCAAGTAACCAGTCCTTCCAATGTCAGCAAATTCCATATAACTGACAGTCACCTTCTACTGCCATCAGGCCTCACTAACCTTGGCTCCCAATTAAATTCTTCTTGGGCCATATCCATTATCGGACGTTGGCAGTCATGTTGGCAATCCTGTTTTTATCAGCAGCCACACGAAAAAGTGCTGCTGAGTTTTGTCCAAACCAGTCCCTTAGATTTTGAAGCTATGATGTTCTTCTGCCTGGACCTTGTTTGCCTTCAATCTTTCCCTGGAGGATTAAATGGAGTATGCCGTATTTTTCTGGATGTCGCATCACATTTCCAAAATATTCTGTTTTGTTTTTTAATTGTTTTGATGATTTCCCTTGGCTTTCCCAGGCGGCTTATCACCTCCTCATTTCTGATGTTGTCAACCCAGCTTATACATAACAGCCTCCTGTAAATCCACATTTCAAATGCTTCTAGTCTCTTGAAGTGGCCTTCTGTCAGAGACCAACTCTCTACTCCATAGAGCAGGATAGAAAAAATATAGCATCTGACAAGCCTGATTTTCAGTCTTAGGCTTATGTCATGACCCAATTAAATTAGATTACTAAAATCTGTTTTGTTTGCTCCTAGACTCCTCCTCTGATTTAATATCTGAGCCTCAGAAGCCTACTGGAGACTGTCTGAGGAGAGCTTCTTCAGGAGGGAAGAGTGGCCCTGAACAGAGAAAGCCTGGGCATTTCTCCCACTGCTAGCCCTTTATGCAATCACTGAAGGTCTTAATATTCAGCCAACATTGGCAATGTTTTTATCTGTAACCAGTTTTTCATTTTGCCTTTGAGAATCACTGAATGTTGGCATAAATTAACAGGCATTTTGTATTTTTTCATTTTCTGAAAAACAACAAAGAAATGAACAGAGAGGGGAAAACAATATGGATGTTTGCTATGTTAAGATACATTACTACGATCTGTTCTTCCAGATTTCGACATGATAGAATAAACCAAATTTTAGCAAGTGGTTACAAAGTTTGCTTGTGTTTGCAATGCACTCATCTGGTTCTTTTAACAAAGCAATCAATGTGTGATGCAACAAGAGGTTTTATTTATTTATACCTATTTATCATCCAGCTTGTTGCAGAGTCTGAGGCTGATAAGGACTGAGCGGGAAAGGTCACACAGCTGGCTTCCATGCTTAAGGAGGGACTAGAACCTGCACCTCATTTTTAATCCAGTACTGACTCTCATTTTTAACAGGCTGAATGACACTTGGACAACAGGAATTGAATGTATGGTTAGTATTATGAGTGGAACCATTAGGGAAACCATTGGGCTAGTAAATTTTACAAGTTAAAAGCAAGCAAACTGCATCTTCAGTATCTGCTTGGCTATGTTTTCCTACTCCATTTCCTTTTGGTTCAGACATTTTAAACATGTTGCTACTTGTACCTCTCCTTCAGACATGTCTGCTCAAAACCCAAGATGACTTTTTCTTTATATCTTGGCCAAGACTAAATAGGATGAGTCATTTATCCAAACAACATGGTTCTTTGTGATGGGCCAACCTTTCTTCTTGTTACGCAGACCTAATATTCCTTGTGAAATATTGTTTTCTGAAGGAGCTGAAAGTCTTGGATGTTACACATTGTTGAAGCTGTGTAATTGGAAATAATGTATCTACTCTTAGTGTGCACTAAAAACAATGCTCAGGGTTTAAAGGAATAAAGAAGCACAGCTAGCTTGTTTTCAGGGTACTTTTTTTGGAAACAGCTAAGATTTTTTTCCTGCCAGTTCCCATAGTTTCCACTTCTAAATTTGTTGATACCATCTGGCACAGATTTTAATCATGCCTTCAATGTAGCCAATAGAAAGGATAAGATTAGAGGACTCATTATCCAATGTCTCTTCAAACCTGGAACCAGGCTTACAACCAGATGTGTATTGTCAATGGAGTTTGAGTCACTCAATGCAGTGAGGCAATTTCATAGGTAGAAATTCTTAGCTTTATCCATAACAAAAAAGGGCAGTATTCTGTGTTATCAGAGATAGCACACTGGTCCATAAGGTGTCAGAGAAAGAGGTTTAAAGTATGGTTTGTTCTTTCTTTTGTCTTCCTTCTTATTATCTGATAAAACCTAATGAAAATATTCTGAATATCCTCCACTTCATTAATCCGTTCATTTCTTCATTTATTTTTTTTCATTTATTTATTACAAATGTTTCTATTCTTCCTGCTTATAGAATTATAGGTGGGCTACATATCAAAGGACCCTTTGCATGCTAAAGATAATATCAAGGATTATGGAAACCTGGTGGGATGAAACACACAAATGAAACATAC